CAGCTGTCGGAGGCCAGGAGCAGAGCTCCTCCGATAGGCGCGCAGCGGCCAGAACAGCAGGGCGAGGCCATGCAGGTAGGGCCAGTGCCTGCTTTTGCTTTCTGCACTACCAAAAAAACCCCAAACTCAACCCTCTGCTTCAGTCCCAACAGATTTCTTGCCAAAGTTTCTTCAAACCAAAGCAATGAGCCAGGGGAGCAGGAGCTGAGCGGCCAGGACGGGGGGAGTGCAGCGGGCGGCAGCCGCCTCCACTGGGCCAAAATGCCACGGGGACTTTTGGGTGCTTGGGGCTGCCCCGAGCCACACCTCCAGCTTTGGTTGAGATCCAAAATCCCCCCAGATTTGTCTCCAGCTGATCCATCACAGCATGGTTAAGGCATTTTGTTCAGCTTCTCCCCTACTTCTTTTTTCTTTCACTTTTTTCTTTTTCTTTCTCTCTCTTTTTTTCTTTTTCTTTTTCCTTTTCATTTCCTTTTCCTTTTCCTTTTCCTTTTCCCTTCCTTTTCCTTTTCCATTTTCTTTTTCTCTTTCTCTTTTTCTTTCTTTCTTTTTCTTTCTCTTTCTTTCTTTTTCTTTCTCTTTCCCCTTTTCTTTCTTTTTCTTTCTCTTTTTCTTTTTCTTTCTCTTTCTTTCTTTCTTTCTCTTTTGCTTTCTCTTTCTTTCTTTTTCTTTCTCTTTTTCTTTCTTTCTCTTTTTCTTTCTCTTTCTTTCTTTTTCTTTCTCTTTCCCATTTTCTTTATTTTTCTTTCTCTTTTCCTTTCTTTCTCATTTTTTTTTTCTTTCTTTCTCTTTTTCTTTCTTTATCTTTTTCTCTTTCTTTTCTTTTTCTTTTGCCTTTCCTTTCTCTTTTTACCTTTCTCTCCCTCTTTCTTTTATTTTTTGATTTTGGAAATACTTCACAAGCTCCACTCAGGTTTGGGAGGGCCGGCTCCCTTGTCAGCACATGGAGCCCCCCTGACATCCCTGCTACCACCAGGAGCTGGATGGCAGAGAAAACACCGAGGGGCACGGCCAGGAGGGGATCTGGGATGGAGCCAAAGCGCAGCCGTCCCCAGGGCACGAAGGGTGGGCTCAGGACGAAGGGGCGATGCTGATGGGATGGCACTGAGGGTGGGCAGCCCTGTGCTGGGGATGGCAGCCAGGGCAACGTCTCCACTTCCATGCCTGGCACCTTCCCCTGGAAAGGTGGATTTTGTCCCCAAGGAGTGCAGGGAAAGCGTTTTCCACCACGCCAGCTGAAAATGGATTCTCAATCCAATTTTACCCTAGTGCCACTCCAGTGATTTTGATGGAGCCGCTGTCGCTGCGTGCGGGTTGGAGCCAGCGGACAGCTGCCGTGGTTTCACAGAGCAGAGGTTTCTTATCTGTGTCACCTTTGATTACTGTAATTGAAATCCTGCTCTGATCTGATCTGTGCCCGAGCGTTTCTGCTGCCCGCGCGGCTCCCGGCTGGAGCGGCGAGATGACGTTAATAGATTGTAAAGGCAGCAGGCTGCGAGGAGCTCTGCTGCCCTCTCACCAGCAGCCACCAGCTGCCCAGTCCCCAGCTCCATCGCTGCCACCCTGGTGGTGCCGATGGCATCACGGAGGCTCAGCCACCCTCTTCATGATGTCTCCTACGGAGCCGATGTGCTCCTGCCCCTCTGCTGCCACCCAGGAGAGGATGCTCCTGGTTCTGGTGCCCAGACTGTCCCAAAACATCAGCCGAAAAGAAAGGAATAAGGCCCAGAAACGCGGTGTGCACCGAGGGGCTCAATCCTCACCCCAGCCCCCGGGCAGCCGCTTCCTCCCCGGCCGGTCATTGTTTGGTGGCACAATGCTGCGGGTCCGAGCGGCCCTTTATCAGCCCCGGCCATGCAGGCTGGGGAGGAAAAGGGTTTCAATCCGAGCTGAGCGATGTTTCCGCCGGCAGACGGTCCCCAGAGCAGGGCCAGATCCCTCCAGGCTGTGTGTGTGTGCGTGTGTGCGCCCCGTCCTGCATCCCTGCCGGGGTCCCCTGCTCCTCCGAGGTGCCCGCTGCCTTCCCTGCTCCACCGTTAATTAAATACAGACTAAAATTAGCTGTGAAGGCAGCACCGCCAGGGTCTTCCACCGAAATCTGCCTGCGGGATGCAGCAGCATCTGCCCCCCAGCTGGGTGCCCGGGGTGCTGGGGGTTCCCCATCCTCTGCTGCACCACGGGGCTGGTTTCCAGCGGGCAGCATCGCTCCCTGGTCCACGGCACAGACCCGCACCTCTCGCCCCAGTGCTGCCCTGCGTGGCCTCCCTGGAGGTTCAGCCACCTCGGAGGCACCCCAGAGGCTTTCCCCACTGCTTTCACCCCGCTCGGCTGCGCTCGGGCCGGAGCAGCTGGAGAGGCACGAGGCTCCTTCTGGGATCGCAAGAGCGCGCATCCTCGGCGTGTTCCTCCCCGTGCCTTGGGGGAGCTGTTATTTTTAGCCGCTCTCCCCATCTCACGTCACTAGCTAGGCTCTTGATCTCTCTCTCTTTTTTTTTTTTTTTTTTTTTTTTTTTTCCCTCCCCAGCATTAATTTGCTCTGTGTGATCTTCAGGTTAGGGCAGCCAGAACCAGGGATCTTCGCAGCAGACCGCTCGCCTCTCCTCACCCGCTACCCAGGGGGTTTTGGATGGGTTTTTCCTCTTTTTAACCCGTCCTGGGGGCTCCCCCCTGACATCCCCATGGGATGAAACATAGGCTGAGAGACAAAACAACCTGGAGGTGCTCTGGCAAGGCTCATCCCTTTCCTTTTGGCCTCCTTGGGCTGTTTCGTGTCTCCCCGTGGCCGATTTCCCAAGCCAAGAGCCACTCGTGGCCGCATCCCAAAATCCCAATTGCGAGGAAAGTGCCCCGGTGCCATCTGCCCCCTGCCTAGCTCCGCCACGCTTCTGGGGACAGCAGGAGATGCCGTGGTGGTATTTATAACTCCAAATCCCTTTTCCTGCTAGTCATGCTCCTGTCCCCTTCCTGGCACGCTCACCGGCCCGTCGCGACAAGGGGACTGACGCGGAGTGGAGACGGAGAGGGTGATGCGGGGGTGGCTGCCACGCCGGGTGCCCTGCAGAGGGACAGCTGGCCCTGTCCCCTGCCAGCAGCACAGCCCCCCGGGGAAGACCTGGGCTTGGAAACCGCCAGGCTGTTCTCCACTAAAACCCTGCTCTGAAGGAGCTCATCCCCAAACGGAGCTGAAATCTGCGCATTTTCTCCCCAAATCTGCACCGAAGGACAGCGATGCTCCCGTCCCCTCAGCACTCTGCTTGCTTTCCCTGCCTCTGCTTTTGACTTTCTTCTTCTTTTTTTTTTTTTTTTTTTGGGTGGTGGCATTATATTTTTTTTTTTCCACCAGACTTTGCTGCATGGCGAATAAAGGCATCCTGCTGTCTGAGGGCTAACGGCTTGCCGGAGAGATAATAAAGCAAAGGGGAGTAAATTAAAGTGCCTATAAATAGCAGCAGGAGAGGAAAAGGAGATGAAGTCATCTTCCTTCAGCTGAGCCGGTATTTACATCACTGCTTCCCTTCGCCTTCCCTCCCCCTCGCCCAGCTCCGCAAACAGCCCCGGGGGCTCGGGGGCTCTGTGCGCCCCCCGTCCCCCCATGCCCCCCGTGATGTCCCTGTGTCCCTGGGGTGCTTTTGGGCACCTGCTGCAGTCCCTGCTGATGGTACGGGTCCTGATGGGAGCCTCCCGGGGCCACCATCCCAAACACGACCCCATACCCCCCGTCCATACCCCCGTGGTGCCCCGCACCCGGGTACGTCTGTGCCTGACTCAGCCTGAGGTCACAGCGCGGTTTCCTCCGTGTCAGCTCCTGGATCCTATTCCCGGGCTGTTTGCACACCCCCGCCGTGTTCTTGCGGGGTATTTATAGCTCCCCGACACGGGGAATGACAGAGCCACCGCTCCACACACCCAAATAATGTCGGTGCCAGGTCGCGGGGGGCCGGGCCGGGCCGGAGGCGCGCGGCCCCTGCCTAATAATAATTCCTCGCGCTTTATATAGGGCGCCTTTCATCCGCTGCTCCCCCGAGTGCTTTACAGGCATTTAATTAAGCTTCCCGACATCCGAATGTGATGACAGCCGAGTAATCACATCCTCGCTTCTGGATGCGAAGGGAGCAGCCGGACCCGGCTGGGGGCACGCGGCCGTCCTGGCTCGCACCCCTAGAGGGGATCGGAACCCAAAAAGGGGATGGGGACCCCCAAAATCCTGCCCAGCCCTGCTGGGGTGGGTGTGACCGGTGCCACCATAAGGTCTGGGGACATCGGTGAGAATGTCACTGTCACGCAGAGCCTGGGGACGGCTGGGCCACAGCTGCCCGACATCTGGATCGGCAGGGGAAGAGACGCCCCGGTCTCGGGGACGGGAGCCATAAATCAGCTGCTGGGACTGAAAGGCTGATTTATGGGGGATATTAGGAGTTGTAATCCTGCCCGGCCACCCCCCAGCGCCGCAGGGCGATGACAGGGACCCAGATATATTACAGGGAGGGAGCGCACGGAGCCTGGAGTCCCCGGGGCCAGCGCCAACAGATCTCCGAGTGGGAGGTCTGGGAGCTGCTGCGGCTCCTGGGTGGCTCGGTGCGGGGACAGGGACATTGCTGGGGACGGGATCCCGCAGGGATGGACCTCCACGGTCCTGGGGGGCTGTGGTTTGTGCCACCAGCACCCTTCCTCCCTGCCGTGTCCGTCCTTTGGGATATGCCACATCCCATCCGGGGGGCACCAGAGGCACGTCCTGGGGCTGGGGACAAGGATGGGGCACAAACTGCCACCAAACAGGAGGGGCAGAGTCCAAATCGTAAACCCAGATTTGCTTCTGATTCACGATCCCTCACCATATTATCGTTGTGTTGCTATTTTTTCCCTCCCAAACCAGCCAGATCTCACCGAGCCCTCACCTTGCCGAGACCCCCCAGCACGATGAGACCCCCCCGGTGGCCGTCCCCGAGCCGTGCCACCAGCTCTGCCCCCCGCCACCACCCCTCCGGCCGCGTGTCCCTTACCGGGGGCTGCCGGCAGCTCCGCCGCCTCGCTGGCCACGATGAGGGACTCGAGGATCTTTGCACAAAGCTCAGGGCTCGCCTCGGTGCTGTGGGGACAACAGGGTGGCCGTCAGGGTGCCACCAGCCAGACGTCCCCGGGGGTCCCCAAACCGACCACCCCAAGGCTCCCCAGTGGATGTAAGGAGGTGGCACACAACAAAACTCCTCCCGAGCCCCAAAATGATGCAAAATGGATGGGCGAGGGGGGATGTGGGCAGCTCACCTGGAGGGAGCGGGGCGGAGGAGCAGCTCCCCAAAAAGCTCCCCGAGGAGCCGAGCCGACAGCCGGTTCTTGCGGGAGCCCTGGCAGAGGCGGCCGAGGTGTTGGGCCAGCTCCTGCAGCAGCAGCGCCTGGGGCTGCGGCAGGGCCGGGGGGGCCAGCAGGGCTCGGGCTCGCTGGCCACACTCCTCCAGGCCCGGGGTCTCTGCCAAAGAGGGGAGAAATCGGGTTGAGGGGGGTCTCTGATCCCCACGGAGCCTTGGTTTGCCACCATACATCCCCTCCCCAAATCCCTGTTTCTTTGTACCCCATCCCATATGCAGAGATTGGGGTCTTGTGTCAGAAAAAGCGAGCTGGGAGGTAAAGGATTTGCCAGGAAAAATGGGGGAGACCCTTTCTGGGGGTCACCCTTTTTTTTGGTGCCATGGCACTGCCATTGCCACGGGGGGACATGGGATATGGCAAGGCGCAGGGACGTGCCCGTGGGCACCTCGAGCTTCCAGCATCGCTCCTCAGGACCCGGCGGGTCCAGGACTCCTCTCCCCAAAGATCTGGGTTTATTTGGGGGTGTTTTTTAAAGTTATTTTTATTTTTATTGAAAGCCCCGGTGGTTCTGCCTCTGTTCCTCACAGCAGTGAGCGGCCTGGGCTGCAGGGGGAAGGCGCTTCCCTTTGAAGCTGCTTAACGAGGCAACCCGGCTAATTGCTTCCTAATTGCGTTTTTATCCTTGGAAGGGAGGCAGCCTTTGATTTCTCCTCTCCGACGGGGAAGGGGAAGGCGGTGGCCTGGTGCCCCCAGCCCAGGGGGATTTCTGCTGCGGGTCCCTCCTCTTCCTCACCCCGAGCTGTCCCCGTGGCCCTCTCCAAGGGGACGGCAGGCACAGCGACCAGGGAGAGCTGGTGTCAGAGGGGGAAATCTGATTTCAAAGCAACTGGGGGGTGAGGAGAGGGTCTGACCAGGTGGGAGACCTCGTGGCAATGTGCCTTATTCCCTTTGGACCCGGGGACCCTGTCTGCTGCTGGCCGTGAGCCCCAAGTGTGCCACCTCGCCGACAAAATTCAGCTAAAGCCATGACCTCGGCAGTCCCATCTGTCTGCAGGAGAGGCTGAAAAGCTTGCGGGGCCCTAAAGGCACTTCCAGCTGAAAAAGCAACGAATTTTCCCTGGCCATACAAAGCCAAAAGCTACCCCTAGGGCAGCATCCCCAGGGGATGGGGACAGGAGCTGGAGATATTGGGATTTTTCCTCGCAGGGGCTTCCCAAAACTCCTCCACCCCACAAAACACAGGGAGACCCCGTCCATGCTTACCTTGAGCCATGTGGAGCAGGTCGGTGCAGACGGCAGGGGGGATGAGTGGGGCTGGCAGCTCCTGCAGGTACCACCTCAGGGCCTCGGCCAGCGTCTGGGCATCGAGCAGGTCCATGTCCACAGCCGAGGGGTCTGCAAGAAACCCAGAGGGAGCCCTGAGTCTACTGCACATCCCCTTGCTTTCCATCCTTCCTCAGGACTTGGGGGGATTTCCCTGCCCGTGCCCTGCTGCCCTCCGTGCTCCTGGTGCCACCGTTCCTGTCCCATCGCCACCAGCTTTGGGGTTGGGGTGCCCAGGGTCACTGTATGGACAACACCTGGCACTGGCATCCTCCAACACTCATCCTCCAGCACTCATCCTCCAGCACTCATCCTCCCTTCTACCACGACCCCAAAGAAATACGCCCCACCAGGAGGCCACAAACACAACACCCCAGCGATCCCAAAACACCACGAATGTACCCAAAGCGCCATCGCCTCCCCCAGCCCCAAATCGCAGATGCCCAGCAGGCGGCGAGGATGCTGTGGGGTTGAGCAACGGGGCAAAGCACGTGAGGAGGGCTGAGATCATCCCAAAACGGGGCCAGCACTCGGAGGAATGTGTCCTGTGGTCCTGCCGAGCCCCGTGGCCAGCTCGGGATGGGGACGTGACTTCAGCCGAGGCGTTGCCTCATGAGTTTGTCTTGGAGGTCCCAGCCCGGGACACACACACACACACACACACGTCCCCTTTTGCAAAGATCCCGAGGTTTCAAAATCTGGCTCTGGTGCGAGCTGGAGCCAGAAGTGAGTGTTTTGAAATTTTCCTCGCAGGAGAAATCTCGGAGGGGGTGTGCTGGGGGGGGGAAATCCCAAGGTATTCGAGGCCGGTTGAAACGGTTCGTTTATAGAAGCTGAATTTCTCAGTGAGGACATTGAAATGAAAGAGCAGAGTTTGCAGGGTTTGAGGGATGATGTTTCAGGTCCCACGTGGCCGGGTATGATGTGATCTAGGGGCAAGGCGATGGCTGTGCCCAGCTCTGCACCCGCTGCCTCTCCCCTCTCTGCGTTTTTATCCCCACGTGCAGCTTTCCCCAAATCGGGGGCATTCGGGGGCACGCTCCGTCTCCAAAGGAGCAGCATTTTCCAGCAGAAAGTGCCCCGAGCCTCCAACCATTTCGACTGGCAGTGGGGTTATGAGCCTAACATGGTGAAAAACCCCATTTCCTAGGGTCAGGCTGGGAGCACCCGGCTCCCACCGCAGGCTGGGTTTGGGCACCCCGAGCTGGGTCCCCCCTTCCAGACCTTGGTGGGCTTTTGGAGAGCATCTCCCCGAGATGTCCCCACCGTGGCCGGGCAGACGAGGCCCGTGCCCATCTCCCCCTGCTCTGGGACAAGAAATTGTGGTGGTTCCCTTACCGGCAGGACCTCGCTGCCTTCCCTTCAGTGCCCGGCCCTTGGCTGGCTGACGGGAAAGCAAACAGATTGAACAATCCCCGGGGCGAAGCCTTTAACCCAGCGGCTGGAGACGCTACCTCATGTTCAGGAGCAGGCACCCGGGCCGGCCACAAACCCGCCGTGACAAAAGGCACCGTGCCGCCAGCGTGGCCGAAGGCGACCCGGGGCAAAGGCAGCGCCGCGGGGTTGGGAGAGGAGAAAGAAAAATCCGAAAAAAAAAAAAAAAAGAAGAAATGGAAAAGTGCCCGTGGGAAGGGTTCGCCTGACACGTTCCCAGCACCCAGCTGAGCTGCTGGACCCCTCAACTGGCCATCAATGGCCCAGGAGATGCTCCAGCCCCTGGTTTTGGCTGAAGACCCCCAGCACGTGGCTAAAACCCCGGGATGATGCTGGGTGGGTGCCTGGGGCAGCCCCCACGGCCACATCCTGCTGTCCTTGTGCCCAGGAGGGGCTCACAGGGCTGGGGGAGCCATGGGGTTGCTCCTGTCCCCGTACCGAGCCTGGTGCTTGAGGTTTCAAGCGTGGGGATGAGCGAGGAGGACGCCTGCTTCCCCTTAGGATGGGCGGTAAGGGACAAGCCCAAAATCTTCTTGTACGCAGCCCCTGCCCGCCACGGGGGTCTCACTGGGGAGCTGTCAGACGGTGCCGGCACGGATTGGGGAGAGCAGCCGCAGCCTGTTGGGTGCTGGAAGGGGATGCCAATGAGTGCTGGCCCCAGGCAATCAGCCCGGGGCTCCACATGGCCTAATTAGCTCATTTGCATAGGCTCGGAGGCGCGTTCAAAGGGAAGGCGCAGCCGATTTCAAAGCACGGCTCCAAAACATCCTTGCAGCACCCCGAGAGTGCCGCGATGGGGAGACCAGAGAGGGGTTGCTGCCTCCTGCCAGCAATTAATTTCGGATGGGGCAGCTCCCCTGAGGTCTCCTCGGTTTGTTGGACAGAAACAGCCTCTGCTCTGCTGTCCCCAACCTCCGGGACATGCGGTCACATCCCCCTGCCCTGCTCCCCTCCTCGGTGCTCCCCGGGGTGCTCCCCAACGTGAGGCTGGGCCGGTGGCCTGGGGAGGGTTAAATTAACCCCGAGGCAGGGCTCTGCCCCCGCTCGGGTACCAGAGGGAGATGATAACCCCTGCGAGAAGCTAATGATGCTGCAGGATGAGTCACGGCTCCCCCCAGGCTCTCCGAATATTTCTGCCCCTTCTTAGAGGTCTCCGTGTCCCCTCCCCGACTGCAGGGCAGGGACAGAGGGACCACAAAGAAGGAAAACACCCCAAAAACCGTGGTCACCCGTGGCCGTGGGTCACCTGGAGCACCCCGGAGAGGGAAAGGGGACCAGGACCTCAGACCCTACGTTGCAGCGTGGGCAGAGCCCCCCAGGAGCAGGAACCTGCACAACCCCCAGACCTGACCCCATTAGGTGTAGGAGCCTGCCGGACATCCCGCTGCGGGGATTTCCCTGGGGAATTTCCCTGGCTTTGACTCAGCACTGCCGCAATGTCCCTGTGCCAGCCCAGCGATCACCCTGTGCCGGGGACTGCGCCCTGCCCCGAGCCCCAGCAGCCCCATATCTCCCCCCAGCTGGGTTTCACCCCGGGGCTGGGACCCCTCCCAGGGGTTCCTGGAGCTGAATTCGGGAAGGCGTGGGTCCCAGCCCCGCGGCGTGAGTCACAGGAGACCACTAATTTACCCTCCCTCCATCCCCACCAAATATAACAGATGAGCTCATGCCCCCTCCCAGCCACCGCAGGTTTATTTCCAGGTACAAGCGCAGAGCGGAGCAGGCACCGGGGCGCCTCTCCTTGGGGACTGAAGTCACAGTTTATGGCTTGGCCAGGGGAAAAATGAGCTCTTGGAGACCCCAAATCCCTCCTGACATCCTAGGGGTGGGGATGGGGGAGCACAGCCACTGCACTCGGAGCGCTCCCTCCCTGGGCACCCACACATGAGGCACCTTGGGGTGCTCCCCACTCCGACCCGGTGCTTTCTGCCCAGCAGCAGCTCGCGGAGCCCACCGCCTCCTGCTAATCCCCACCGAGCCCTGACCTAATTCCCGGGCACGTGAGTGTGTCTCCAGGCAGACTGCGCCTCGCCAGGGCCGGAGATCAAAGCGGGGAGGACGGCAAGACGGCACGGCACGGCTCAGCACGCCTGGAGACAGCAGCTCCAATCCACCTCTGCCTGCTGCGTGTCACTGGGGGGGGGACAAGGGACAGGGGCACGTGGGACCCCGAGCAGCACTGAGCCCCTCCAGCACCCCGGGAGCAGCTCTGAGATAAATGCTGAGTCCCAAGAGAAGTCACCCCCCTGTCCCCATCCTGCTCCTGTGGGCACAGCACCCGGCCAAGCTGGGACACCCCAAATTTCAAGGCGTTGGAGAAATGGGGCAGCTCTGGGGGTGGGGGACATGTGCCTGCCCCCACCCACACGTTAAGATTTGGGGGGTTGAAAACCAACATGCGAACTTTTTTAGCCCCTTCCCCTTTCTCAGTTTCCCTCCACGACTGCCAGACCCTGGCGTAAATGGGGCATTCACCGGGAAGCCGACACCCCCGGAGGGACCCCAAAGACCTGCTTCCCCCCCCCAGCCAAAACAGGGTTTGTTTCCCAGCCTCTGCCAGCCCCAGATCCTATTTCCCTGTTCCCCAAAATCCAGCTTGGCTTTTTGCTATGGGAGGAGAGGAGCTCATGGGGACGGAGCACGGGGCAAACGTGCCCCCTGCAACCTCGCGCACAGTCCCGAGTGGCTGCGGGCACCCCCCTTATTTTTTTTTTTTTTTTTCCAGGGCTATTTTACAGCCCAAACACTACAAAAACCTGCAGGAGGCTGCAGGGAGGAGGGGGGCAACGTCTGCATCCCGCTGAGCATCACCCCCCAGCTGGGAGCTGGCACCCACGGCGTGGCCCCCAGGGCTGGGGGACCCCCGCGCCTCCCCCCCTGTGCCAACGCCGCCTCTCGGGGAGCGCCGGGGGCTCGCCGCAGCCCGTTCCCCCCGCCCGGCAGGGACTCTGCAGCGGGGAAGCGATGAAGTCATGGTGCTTAATATAGCGATTTCATCACGGCCCTTCTCCCCAGCAACACGGCTCGGGAGCTGGCGGGGCTGCAGGGCCGTGCCCGGAGCCGTAGTGCCGCCCGCCGGGCTCTGGGTGCCTCGGGGCACCCCGCTTCCAGCAGCATCCTCCCCACCCCCCCTTTTCTCCCTCTCCTCAAAAAGGAGATTTTTTTTTCCCCACGTTTCCTTCTTCCCCATCGCACCCACGTGCTGCCTGCCCCATTTCTCAAACGGAGACGTGAGAGGTTTGCAAAGTGATTATTTTTTTTTTTCCCTCTCCCTAAAAAAAGGCAGCTTCTAGCGAAGGGCTCCAGCCAAAAATAATAACCGGCTTTTCCTTCCCTCTGCTGCTCCCTCTGCCCTGCAGCCCCCATACACCCCCTGAGCTGCCCCCATTGCAGGCAGCAGCACCCGGGGCAGGTTCAGGGTCCCCCCACAGCAGCCCCAACCCCACACCGGGTGCCAGCACCCCACAACCCATCCCGACCCCACACCCGTATCCAGCAGCACCCCAGCGGGGTCAGATGAGCTTGGAGGGGGGGCTCACATGCAAGCAGTGTCCTACAGAGCTGTAATTAGTGCCCTAATGAGGTCAGAGCTGTAACCCAGCCCTGGCACAGCCCCACTCAGTGGAAGCATCGCCTCCAAGCCGGGCACTGGGGGATGTGGGGGGGATGTGGCACGGGACTTACCTGCCAGCAGGGCCTGCTTCAGCTCAGCATCACCCAGGGCACCGGGGGCTGATGTGTAGAGCACCTCGCTGTCGAGCCCTGAGGAACAGCCAGGAGATTTGGGGTCAGTCCCTGAGCCCCAAATCTCTCCCACCAAATCCCCCTTCCAACACGGGAATGACTGGAAGCAAGCAGGGATGGACACTGGGGGTTCCCTCGCCCCGTGCACCCCAGCTCTGTGGGTACCGGGGTGCACGGCTTGGCCCTGGTGATGCTCAGGGGCATCGGTGGCTGTGGGTAGGGCAGGGTGGTCGCACACGTGCCCTACAAGCACCCTGGCTGCCCCTACCTTGCTTTTCCAGCGCCTCGATGAGCCTGGCCACAGGTCGTCAGCGCCTGCTCGGGGAGTGCTGGCTGCTCGCTGTGCTCTGCCTGCCCGGGGAGCCCTGCTGAGGAGAGACAGGGAGAGGGGCTCGGAGTGCATTCCCCAAATCCTGGTCTGCTGTGTGCATGTATTTCCCTCCAAAGCATTTATTTTCCTTCCTTCCTTCCTTCCTTCCTTCCTTCCTTCCTTCCTTCCTTCCTTCCTTCCTTCCTTCCTTCCTTCCTTCCTTCCTTCCTTCCTTCCTTCCTTCCTTCAAGACAATTAACATGACTTTTTCCACTTGGTACAAAAAGATTTTGGAGATGTCTGAGCATGCTTTGGGCAGCAAGGTTTGGTTCTTTGGTAACTACTAGAGGAATTGAGTCCTTAGGTGGTACAGCCTTCCCATTTGGGAAGGCTGGTGTGTCAAGGGCTGCTCCTGCCTGCTTTCATGTGACTATCTGATCTGTTTTGGTGCAATTATATTAAAAAATAATAATAATGGTAAATTCGATGATGAGTCTGGGTGCCTTTTTCCCACAGAAGCCAGCTGCAGCCCAGCCAGCTCGCTCCCTGCGATCGGTTTTTCCTGCCTGGCCAGAGGGCAGGGAGCTCGCCCGTGAAGCCAATAAATCCTGAACAATTTTAAGGAAGGAAAAAGAAAAAAAAAATGGAAAAAAAAAAGGACTTTGGGCAGGAAGGTAACAGAGGTGAGAAGAGATGGTGCTGGCCCAGAAATGAGAGCCCTGCAGTGGGGTTTGAAGCAAAGCACACGTGTGGGAGCCTGTGGAAAACTCTCCCACCGCACTGATGGGTTAAGGAAAATGGGGTTTTGGCCTCGAAGCTGGCAGCTGGGGGAGCAGGGAGGCAGCTGCAGAGAATAACTGCAAGTCCTTCGCTGGAGATGGCCCCGGGCAGGGAGCTGGGTGTCCCGATGGGGTGCTGGAGGGAGGCGATGCTGTGGGACAGCCAGGCAGGGGCTGAGCAGCCACCGAGCTCCTGGGAAGTCCTCGTGCAGCAGTGGCACTCGGCTCCATCCCAAAGCCATTTTTAGGAAGTCGTCTAATTAAAAAAAGACCATTCCTCCCCGCAGAGCCAGCCCTGGCTCTGGGGCACGGCTTGGAAAGGCAGCGTTTCCCTCCTGCCAGCCAAACCCTTCCTCTGGCTGGAGAAAGCCCAGGGCACCGTGGGCAGAGCCCTGCTCTGGGCTCCCACCCTGCTTGGGGTCCTTGGGGTCCCCGAGCAGCACCAGGGCTCGGGGGGCACTGAGGGCACCCAGGGCAGCACACAGGTATTGCAGAAAAATAAGGATTTGAGCCAGCCAGAACAAGCATGAGCCTCAAAAGCTCTGCCTGGAGATGGAAACAGCAAGGGAAGATTTTTAAAAAAAGTAAAAAAAAAAATAAAATAAGTGGTTCTCTTCCAAAAAAACTTTGGAGGTTTTCGTTATAAGGAAACTCCATGGGGGGCACCCGGGGCACAGGGACACAACCAGGGGGTGCCCGGCGGGTTGCAGCACCCCCTGCCCCCCAGGCCCTGCTTTTAGTGGGGTTTCCTCTATAAAAAATGATCTCTGGGCTGGGGGCTCGACCCTGGGGCTGGCTGGTCTCTGTCCTCCCAGCCCCGGCAGCCTCGCCGTGTCCCCGAAGCGACCATCCCAGCCTCCTTGCTGCTGCCCTGAATCATTTTGGGGGCATGAACCCCTTTCCAGCGGGTGCTGCCTCCCCAGCCCCACACCAGCGGTGATTTCTCCTCTGTCACATCCCAGAGGAAGAGCAGATCACGGTTTTGTGCAGGGCTGCTGGGTCGTGTTTGCCTCCCCAGCTGGAAGGGGGTTTTTCTCGCCTTTCCTTTTTCGCTTGGATGCATTATGCAACCGCAGTGCGATCCCAAGCCCAAACGCGCTTGGCCACCATATAAACGATGAGGGCAGAGGGAGTTCAGCACCCCCGGCAGAGCACAGGCACCCCGACACCTCACCAAAAACACCCCCCCAGCACCACGCCACAGCCCCCAAGGAAATAAAACCCCCTGCGTTTTGGGTTCCCCACCAAACCTTGCCAAACGCTCGCACCCATCTCTGCGGTGTCCCTGTCCCCATACTCCACCCGAGCTCTGCGCCACCCTTGGGGTGTCCCCGTCCCCATACTCACCCCAGGGCTGTCCGGCAGGCACGGGGGTCCCGGCGGGCGGCGGGGGCAAGGGTCGTGGCTTGGCCTTGGCGGTGGCGGCGGCGATGCGCACGGGGCCCAGGTACTGCACGTAGGTGCCGGGGAAGTCTCCGCGCTCCTTGGTGCGCTCGTTGAGGCCGTGCAGCCAGCCCTGGGGGCTGCGCTCGTCCCCGTCCTTGTAGTCGGGGGCAGCCAGCAGCGAGGCCCTACTGACCGTCAGCACGTCCCCGGGGCTCAGCGCCAGGTCCTCCTCTCGGTCCTTCTGGTACTCGTAGAGCGCCCGGTACTGCAGCCCCTCTGGGGAGGCCATGGCGATGGGATCAGGGGATGCTGCCCCAAGCTTGATGGGCAGGAAAAGATCCTTCTGCCTCCGAGAAGTGGCTCCTGACCCCTCCGGTCCCAAATTCACCGTTGGGGTTCGCTCAGGCGTCGTGGAGGGGAGCAGGTGATGCTGACCCCCGTGCCAGCCCCAAAAAGACGCCGTCCCCTTCTCAGCCCGCTCCCTCTCTGCCCTTCATCCTGCCGGGGTTGGGGACCGGCCTCCCCGGGCTCTGTCAGAGCGAAACGCAGCGCATCAGCCCCCTGCCCCCACCGGGACCCCAGCCAGCCCCGTGTCCCCCACCCCGGGCACCCACGGCCGGGGACAGTGGCAGCCTGGGGAGCCAGCAGGGACCGGGCGCTGCGCACCGGGACAGTGCCGGCAAGTCGGGAAAGTAGGGCGAGGGATGGAGCCCCGAGCTCACAGCACAGGCACCCGGGCTGGGCAGCCTCCCCCCAGCCCCAAAACGGCACGGGGCTGAGCGAAAATATAGGATTTTAGTGGTTTCGGGTTTATTTTTATTTTATTTTTATATTTATTTTATTTTAATATCCCTAGGAGAGGTGACAGCAGGGAATGGTGTCGTGTGCCCCCCTCCCACTTTCCCCCTACACCCCGGGTCCAGGATTTTAGTTCAATCTCGCCTTTTTTTCTTAATTTACGGGTCTCTCGATTTATTTCCAAGCCTTTTAAACACCCCTCGGGGACAGCACAGCGTGGAAAGCCCCCCCCTTTCCCCCCCCTCCCTTCCAACCCCCCATCTCCCCCCGGTCGGGAGATGGATGGGGACGGCCTCCCGGCCCTCCCGGCCCTCCTGTCCGTCTGTCCATCCGTCCTCCTGCCCCCCCGGCCCCCCCTTGCCCCCCCCCGCCCCAGCCTTACCGGAGCGGAGCGGAGCGGAGCCGGCCCCGGCAGCAGCGGGGCGGTGATGTCAGCCTCGCTCCTCCCGCCCCTGGGCACCGCAGCGCGGCGGGGGCGGGGGGGGGGGAACGGGATGGGAAAGGGGGGGCTGCCTCCTATCTGCACCCCAGGGAGAGGGGACGGGGTGCCCGAGGGGTTGGGGGGAGAGGGGGGTGTCAGATACGCGCGGAGATTCAGGTTATGGGGGAGCGGTGCCCCCCCTACCTGGCTCACTGAGGGGTGTGGGGGTGGGAAGTGTTGGGGGTGTGTAGGGGGGGTGGGGGGGGTAAAGCACTGGCACCCATCCTTGGGCACCCATTCCCGGGATGCCCCTCATTTGGGCACCCATCCCGTGGACGTCCATCCCTTGGGAATTCGTCTCTTGGGCACCCATTCCCAGGGGACCCTTCATTTGAGCACCCATCCCCAGGACACCCGTCCTTTGGGGACCTTGAGCACCCCCCCCCCCCGGCACCCACCCCCTGGGCACCCACCTGTAGGGCACCCACCCCCTGGGCACCCACCCCAGGACACCCACCCCCATGCCCATCACCACCCCACGGCCACGGCATGGTTGTTGTTGCATGCACCAAGAGCACCAGGGCTCAGCCTGCTTCCAGCTGCTTTGTCTCTTATTTTATTATTTTATTATTTTATTTTATTTTATTTTATTTTATTTTATTTTATTTTATTTTATTTTATTTTATTTTATTTTATTTTATTTTATTTTATTATTTTATTTATTTTATTTTATTTTATTTTATTTTATTTTATTTTATTTTATTTTATTTTATTTTATTTTATTTTTATTTTTATTTTTTAAATCCTCACTTCTCTCACTGACCTCTCCGAACCGACGGCTGCTCCTTGCCTCTGCTGCAGGTCGGGCACCCTAAAAGCAGCTGGGATGGCACCTAAAACGTCCCCTCCGGCTGGATCCAGGAGCAGTACGGGGTGGGGGCATGGGAATTCCCAACCCTAGGGGCTGGGAAAGATGGGGAAACTGAGGCACAGGGGGATTTTTCTGTCCTGCTGCCCCTGGTGCTGGCACCCTGCTGCTGCTGGAGCTGTGGGGTCGGTCCTGAGGCTCACCTGGGTGGGGCTACCCCAAAAACCCATCAAGACCACCCTGAGTCCCTCTGCTCTGGTCCTTCATGGCCCTGCATGGGGTTTTCCACCCTGTGCTTTCCAGGAAGGGAACCCGAGGCACAGCGGGGTGTCCCCATGCCCAGCTCCGTCCCCATGGGTGGCATCAAGCCCCACAAGCCCCACGGGCTGGGAAGGACACAGGAATGCCACCGGGCTCGTCCTGCTGAGGTCAAGCCAGAAAATCCAGCCCCAAGTTCCCAGTGGGGTTGGGATGGGTGACACGGGGAGCGCCCAAACCCCAGAGTATGTGGTTAGGGCAGCGGGGTGCAGCCACAGCGCTGCCCTGCAATTTCCCTGGGGCTGGGGGTGAGCCTCCTTCCACACAAATATTTATGGGTTCTGCCGAAATTATTTGTGGGGTGGGGGGTTGTGTGCAACGAACAGGGGATGGGGAGGTTTTGGGGAGAGGGGTGATACGATGGAGGTCTTCTTTTGCATTTAGGGGCAGCAGGTCCCAGATGGGAGAGGGCAGGAGGGCTGACGGGCAGCTGCTGTGGGACGGGCTGAGGCTGCAGGCAGCGAGGGGAACGGGTTAGGGCACCCGGATCCGGGTGAACACCCTGGGAGGGTTTAGGGCTCCCCCACATGCCACACGTCCCAAAGGGGATGACTCCATCCCGCTGAAATGTACCCTCGTGGGGAGGGACGTGTTGAGCACCCGGTGCCTCTGCTGGGGAGGACCCCAAAAGGGTCAGATCTGGGGACACAGAATCCCCCCGTGCTCTGCTCGGCTCCCTGCTTTCTGGGCAAAAGGGATTTTCTGGGGAAACCATCCCTGTTTCCAAGCATCATTCCAAAAAAAAAAACAAAACATTATTTTTTGGCAGCCTTTGGGCTACGGCCGGTCTCTGCTGACATCCAGCGCTGGCACCCACTCTGGTCGTCACCATCCTCTCCTGCCGTGTCCCCACCAGCAAAAAAAACACTGTAACAGTGGGAAACACCCCAAATTTTGGCTTTTCATTTACAGACCAGCTCCGGTGGCCATATCCCGGTGCCCTCCTCTCCCTGCTTCTGTTTCGGGCCAGGAGACCGCAGATTTGGGGCTTTCACATCCCTGCGCCCGGCTCCTCTGGGGGCCCCGCCGCCTGCCCCAGACATTGGCAGAAGAGCCCCAGACCCTCAGTGGCCACTTTGGGGTGCGATGCTTGTCCGTACAAAGCAATTTTGGGGTGTTCTGACCCCAAATCCCCTCCCCACCCCCTCTCCTCCCCAGCAGCGCCCAGAGGCCGCGGTGATGGGCTCTGGCTGCTGCCTCTCCGGTCGGGGTGGCTTGGGCAGCAGAGGGCAGCAAGCCACCGAGCACCCAAGGGACCTGGTGGCTCTGCCACCCCCAGGGGGTGGCCCCAAAGGGTTGGGCTGCTGCTTGGGCGGCCCCGGGGCTGCTCCCGTTTAAAGGGTGTTGGGGACGGCACGGGGGCGGCAGAGCGGTGGCGTTGGGTTGGGGCTGCTGGAGCTGCTCACTGCAGAGGTAGGCTGGGTGTTTTGGGGGAAAGCACAGCTGGGAGGTGGCCCAGGACTTGGAGGAGCCCGGTGAGGGCTCTGTGTGTGTCCTTCCTACCCCCAAAAAAAAAGCCTGAAGGAAGGGGGAGTTGCGGCTGGTTCTGCTGGTAACGTCTCTCTGCTCGCCTCCCCCTGCTCTCTCCAGGTGCCAAGATGGGGTTCTTCACGTTCATCAAGGTCATGATGATCCTCTTCAACCTGGCCATATTTGTAAGTGCTGGGGCTGTCCCCACCCGGGGACACCCGCTCTCGGCGGTCCCTCCAGGCTGGGCTGTGGGGCTGGGGTGCACCCTGAGCCTCGGGGCTGTGGGGTCTCTTGCTCCTGTGGTGTGCCCAAAGCCCTTGGTGGGGGGGGGAACAGGGGACAGTGGCTGTTGTATCGACCCCACAGGTCCCTTGCCTGTGCCTGGCGGGGTGCTGGGTGCCCCAGGGTCCCACCCGCTGGGCTCCCCCCATCTGTGAGGGGAACAGCAGCGACCTGGGGCTTGGGTGTGGGGGTCTCTGGGGCTGGGGGAGAGGCTGAGTGTGGGGGGTGGTATGGTGGCAGCTTCCCCAGGGGCTGGTGGCCTCCATCCACCTCCTCTTGCTGCCTTTTGGGGTTGGGTTGGGAGCTCGAGGGCACACGGGGTGGGCTAGGGCTGAAGCTGCCTGCAAAACACCTGGATGAAGAGAATCAAGATGCTGAGATCCTCCAGAAACCATTTTTTGTCATTTTTTTTGTCATTTTACCCCTGCTCTTCCCCGAGCACCCCATTTACCCATCTCTTTCCTCCCAGCTTGGTGGCGGAGCCCTCCTGGGCGTCGGCATCTGGGTGACGGTGGACGGGCAGTCCTTTGTGAAGATATTTGGGGGGATTTCGTCCACCGTCCTGCAGGTCGTGAACGTTGGCTACTTCCTCATCGTCATTGGTGCCATCTTGTTGATCATTGGCTTCCTTGGGTGCTACGGCGCCCAGAAGGAGAGCAAATGTCTCCTGATGATGGTAAGGACGGGCCCGTGATGAGCCAGGCTTTATCCAGTGGGGTCTTTGGTGGGGGAGGACTGAGGGATGGGTATCTCCGTGGAGGTGTCCTCCTCGGGTGTCCCTGTATTGTGGAGGGCTGGGTGGGCTTTGGAAAAGCAGATGTGGGGATGGTGGGACCCCAAAATTGTTCTGCCTCTGCCTTGGAGCAGGGCTGGTGGCAACTAGACATGGATTGAAGCAGGGTGAGGGTCCTTGACCTTTGGGGAGTGGGTGGGTTTTGGGGGGCTGTGGCACTGGCTGTCGTTTTGACCTCCCTCCCCTCTCTGCCTCCCAGTTCTTCTCCGTGGTGTTGATCATCTTCATCGCCGAAATCGCGGCTGCCGTGGTGGTTCTGGTCTACACGAGTCTTGTGAGTGGCTTAGCAGGGTGCTGGGCTGGGGTATTTTGGGACACGTGGGATCCCTTTAGGAAAACAGGGGAGCCTGGGGGTGCTGCCTGTGGGCTGGGAGGACGGGACACCAAACTGGTGCCAGCTCTGTGGGACAGCCTGGCCGGGTGGCGGGGCTGCCCGAGGTGCAGGCAACAAGGCGGGGATCCCATTACCCTACAGATCCCATTATCCTAAAGAAACGAGAATAATCACACAGGTTTTGCCCACCGCTTGCTCTTGAACACCTTAGTGAGGAACCAGCCGAGGCTGGACACCTCTGGTGGCAGCAGCCACGCAGGAGAGGCAGTCCCGAGAGAACTGAAGCGTTTATTATACACCAGGGAGCTCCTCTGGGGAGGAAGGCTGCGACATCGCCTGGTTGGAGGCCGGAGAAGTCAACCACAGGGCAGGCACCATTCCTGGCCGCCCCGGCCGGGCTGCTTATCGACTGAGTCACCACCAACAGCGGCCTCGGGGCCAAAACGCCGCGGTCGGTGAGGCTGCCAGGCTGCCTCAGGTCAAAGGGACACAGCGTGACGTGTTCCTGGCCCTGCTCGGCCTGCGTGGCCTCTTCCTCATGGGTTTGGGACCGGTACGGGCACTGCAGGCCCTCGACTCCGTGACGCTCCCTGGGATGGTCTCTGATGGGTTTTCTCGGCCTCTCCCCGCAGGCAGAGACGTTCCTGACAGCCGTGGTGACTCCCGTCCTGAAGGAGAAGTACGGGGCTGACAATGATTTCACACAAATATGGAACCTCACCATGGACGAGGTGCGCTGGGCTTCCCCCCCTGGTTTGGGGTCAGGATGCTCTCGGCAAGGGCTTGGTGGTGCCAACCCGGGTGGGGGTGTGGGGTGGGGATGTGGCCCCAGGCGTGTGTGACCACCTCACGGGTTTCCAGAGGGATCCAGAGGTCCTGAGGTGGGGTGAGAAAGCTCCTGGGCTGAGCCGGGTGACCTCCTCCACGGGGCAAGGAGGCTCCAGGCCATGTTTCCTCCAGGAGGGAGTGAGCGTCGGGGACATGGGCACAGGGAGACCTGTAGGGTGCTCTCACCACCCCTTTCTCTCCCTTAGGTCCGCTGCTGTGGCCTGAATAACTACACAGACTTTGAAGACTCCCCGTTTTATAAACAGAACAAAACCTTCCCTCCGCCCTGCTGCAAGGGCCTTTTCCCGTGCAATGAATCACTCGCGGCAGCGAGTAAAGTCCAGGTATGAACACACACACAGCTCCTGCCTTCCGATTTTGGGGTGCGCCCAATTTTGGGGTGCATCCTGGCACGGGGAGGAGGACCCAGCCTTTACCCCCAGCCTGAGCTCTTGGCACAGCAATCCCCTGGGTGCTGAGTCCCCGGGGGGCTGTGTGGCTTTGACTTGTCCCCAGTGGCCTGTTGGGGAGGAACAAAGCTCCTTCCATTGCCCGGTCCCAAATTCCCTCATTTCCCCACCCCGTGGAGATGTGGGGCTTTGGCCTGAGGGGTGGATGAGTTGTGTCCCCCCTCCCCAACCATATCCATGACCGTGAAGCTCTGGGCTGGAGCCACAATGTTCCTCCTGGGGGAAATGCCCCCTGGGTGGGAGATGTTCCTCCTGGGGGAAATGCCCCCTGGCTGTGGGATCACAGCCCCATGCCCGTCCTCACCTGCCTTGCTGCTCCCGCAGGGTTGTTTTGACCAGATTTTGGAAGACATCAAGACGAACGCAGACGTGGTGGGTGGCGTGGCTGCCGGCATCGCTGCCTTGGAGGTGAGTGCCCCAAGCAGCAGGTTTGGGGTCCACTTGGGGTGCCGAGGGGCTGGTGCAGCCCCCACGGACCACCACCTGCCACGGGGTGGCTATGAGCCTTCCTCCCCAGGCACACCCCCCTCTTCCTCCCTGCGTGTGCCAGGCGGGGGCTGTCACTGGGCTGCCTCTGTGCCGGGGGGGGACACCCGTGGGTCTGACTCTCTTTTTGCCCCCCCAGATCGCAGCCATGGCCGTCTCCATGTACCTGTACTGCCGCCTGGACCAGAAGTGACCCCCGGCAGCAGCGGGAAGCCGTGCCCCCCCCCTCCGTGTGCCGGGGTGCTCCTGACGGCCGCACCACTCTCTGGGCCCGATGCCGGCCGGTGCACTGTGACCTTAGAGCTCTTTTGATCTACTGAGCTGGGATCTGTAGAATTTATATGTATATTTTTGTACTGATATGGCGTAATGCATCTGTACATAGAGATATTATTTTTTTTTTTTTTGAGGCAGGGAAGGGGAGGGGGAAGCCACCCGGTCTGTTTTGCTGATGCCAGCAGGAGATATGGCCCAGGCAAAGATCAGGGCTGCCGAGCAGGCACTGGCCCTGCCCTGACCAACCCTTGTGGTGCCTCTCCCGTGCTGCCACCTCCCCGTCCCTGGCCTAACTTTGCTGGCCGGGGACTGGGCTGGGTCCTCAACCAGCACGGTGGTGGCTGCACCCCCAAACTGGGGTCCCTGCGCTGGTCCCATGGGGTCGCTGCCCCTGGTGTGGAGCTCAGCCCTGTAGGTCCCCACTGTGATTTCAGTGTGAGAACCCTCTCCCTAATGTAAAGAAAAATACAATTATTATTATTTTTTGTCTCAGATGTAAGCTGTTTTCTGCTGTCTTCAATAAAGCCGTGTACCCGCAGCCCCTGCTGTGCATGGGGGGCTGCCCACACCTCGCTTCCCTCCGTGGCTCCTCTGCACCTTGCCCTGCCCTTTGCTGGAGCCTTTTCCTGCTCTGACCAGCACCTTGCTGGGGAAGCAGGATGGGAGCTGGGGGATTTTACCCATCTCTGTGTCCCAGCCCTGTTCCCGTCAGAGCCCATGGGGGAGAAGGGCTCTGGTGACCCCAAAAGAGGGGCAGCTCTGCCTCTTCCAAACCAGGGCCCTGCCTGGGGCTGCTGCGAGGAAAGCAAAGCCCCAGAGCTGAGTTTTTATTCCATTTTCCACCTTCATCCCGTGGGACTTTGACCCCGTCCCCGGGCTGTGCGTGCCATCAACAAGCCCTGCCGTGGGAGCAGGCACGTGGCAGCGGGGCAGGCACGGGACCCGCTCCCCACCCCGGGTGACTCAGCTGGGGAAAGGCTGCCAGGAACACGCTGCTGCCAGGTGGGTGCTGGTCCCAGCCTCACCGCAAACCAGTGACCCCGGGGGTGACGTCAGGGGGTTTTTATTCCCTGTTTTCCCTTCCCAAAGGTGTGGGAGCTGCCCAGCCCTTGGCGCTGCCCCAGCCCTTTGAGAGGTGCCAGCATCGCCCATCGGCGCGGGTTCCTGCGGGCGATGCTGGTGGTGTTGGTGGCTCTGGGTGGTGTGGTCATGCTTCTTGCAGACACTTGAGCTTTGCATACGTCACCCCACAAACAGAAGGGCCCCCGTTTCCCTTTGCTTTGTCCCCTCTTTCAGCCGTACCCATTTAAACCAGCTTTGTCCATCCCGTGCAGGCACCCACAGGGGTGCTCGGGGTGCCTGTTCCTCAAGGCAGCTTGGGGACCCCATCCCCAGCTGGAGGTCTGGGCCCCTTAATTTGGGGTTTTCTGGCAGGAATGAGGCCAGACCAGCAAACAGGGCTGGGGGATGACAAAACCCTGGGCACAACTTGGTGCCTTTCCCTGCTGCATGGAGGGAAACTGAGGCACGGAGCGAAGCCTGGGGTTGCAAGCCCTGGCACTGCCGTTGCAGGGATGGACACCAAAGGTGTGTCCTGCCCTAAATCCTGCCCCAAGTTCCTGGAAAATGTGGGGCAGGGAAACGTGCGGGATTTCTGCCAGCATCCCTTGCCCTGCTGCCCGCTGGCACCACCAGCAGTCCCCGCAGCACGAGATTTGCCTGCTTCCATAAATACTCAGCAGCTCCACCAGCAGCACCCAGCTGTGACATCAGTGACCAAGGCCAAAATCCCCACGCACACGTAACAGGGAGCAGAAACTTCCTTATTGCCCTGCTTCGGTGTCCTTGGGCTCGAGGTCTCTGCGACTGGTGGGGTAAACAAGTGTGCCTTGGCTGCTCCCTGCTTGGGAAGGAGGCCAAAGCTCACCGGGGCTGGGGTTGGGTTATTTTCACCCCCAGGGCACCCTGAGGTGGGTGCTGAGCACCCTTAAAATCCTGGGAGGTTCCCCACCAGCCCCACGTGCCCCGGGATGGAGCTGCCAAGGTGAAACCCAGGCTGGCCACAGGGAAACGAGCTCTCCTCGCCCTCTTTTTAATTGCGTTCTGTGGGGGACAGTGACTGTCACCAGAAGGCTAAATTGCAGCTGTTACGGTTCCTGCTGATAAAGGGCGTGAACTGCAAACAAAGCGAACCCATCCAGCATCACCTGCACCAGGAGTGCCTGCCACAAGGAAGTTCCCTCCCGCTGCGCCGCAACAGCTCGGCCAGGATGAACCTGGGGAGGAGAGGGGAGGAGAGGAGAGGACGGCCTCGAAGGGCATGGGTTCCCCGGGGGGAAGCGGGGCAGCTCACGCTTTCACCTGCCAACCTTCCTCCCCGTCCCCTTTCTCCTCCTCCCCAGCCCCGAGACTCCCACCCGGGGCCCCCGAAGCTGGGGCTGGGGCGGGTGCTCTCGGGCAGCTCCGTGCCCTGATTTATTGCGGTCGGGCTATCGGAGGCGGTGGAGGTGGAAGGGATAATTGAAATGTAGCACGCCGGGGCTGATAGCAGAGCCGGCGAGTTAATCGTTAACGAGGCACTGGGCAGGATACGGCGTAATGACCACCACGGCCACGATCCGAGGTGCACAGATAGGGATTAAATTGCTGCCGGGCTTTGCTGTGTGTGGGGACGGGAAGTGGCAGCCCCACTCGGGGACTCCTGCCTGGGGACAGAGCCCTGCCACAGGGAGCAAAAAAAAGCCAAAAAAAGGGAGCAGGTTGGGTCAGGCACCTCCGTTTTGGGGCTTTTTATGTAGCAGAGGGTGCCAAAAAGCAGGGAGCTGGGATGTGGGTGGTCAGGGATGGGGACGGGGACAGGCTCAACGCGCCCCAGGTGCTGGCGTCCCTCCAGCACGGAGATGCCTCCATCTGGGAGGACCAGGACGGGCGTCCCCAAGGACATCAAGAGGACGTTTCCCTCATTTCACGGGGCACGGAGGGCCACGGGCAGGGGCAGCCGGGACGGTGATACCCAGCGGGGTGATTGCACCCTGCCCTGGCACCTGCGGGCACCGCGATCCTTGCTGAACGAAGCAAATGCAAAAAGGAAAATATGCAAAAATTACCCCTTCCCTCCCTCTCCCCCCCCCCAGCAAGTTCTTGAAAGGTCAGGTTTCGTGCCAAGGCTATTTTGCTTTTGTTTAATTATCAGCCAGCTCCCGGGACACAGAGCAACAGGGACAGGTTCTCCTTTGTCAGGCTGCACAAAGGCAGCGGGGCTGGGCTGCGGGGGGGGCGGCCGAGACCTGGGAACTGGTGATTTGGGGCCGCGGGGGGCCTAGCCGTGGGAGCCCACACGTCCCTGCCTCGCCCCTATAAATGCAGTCTCCTGCACACCCAGAGGAACCCCCGCAGCTCTGTGGGGTTTGCTGGGTCACCGACAGAGCTCCTGAGGGGGGCAAGAGCCCGGTACCCAGCCCTGAGCCCCCAAAACACTGTGGGTTTTGCTGGCCCCACAGACAGGCAGTGGCATCGTCTCGGAGGAGGTTGTGGCCTCCACCAGAGCTGGATGCAAACTGGGGAGGCGATGCCCCTCTCCGCCACCCCGCCAAATAAAGTCCTAAGGACACGGGGCTGGGGGAAATCCTCTGCCCAGGGGGGTGCCCGTTCCCCAAAAGCTGCCCCAGGAGGGGTGGGAGGCGATGGGGACGAGGCCCGGCCTCGCCACGGGTGGAACAGGAGGCAGCTGGTGCACGGCGCTGGTCTGTACTGGTCTGTGCTGGTGCCTGCTGCCCGCCCAGCCCCATCCCACTCGGGTCCTGCATCTACAGCCATCTCCTCACCCCGCTGCTCCCCAAAACGGGGCAAACCCCAGTCCTTGTGGGCTCCCTGCCCCATGGGGATGGGAGCCGGGAGGCTCTGGAGGCTCCTGCAGCAGCTCCTGGCACGGGGCTGGCCCAGAGGCTGGCATTTCTCACAGCCCTGCTTGGTTTGGCTTCGCCTGCCTGCACCCAGCCCGCGGGGAGGAGCGGAGGGGAACACAAGCACCACCAGGAGCTGTTTTTCCTGGTGGGTGTCTCCTGTCCTCTCCTGTCCCCCCCCTGCTTTTGTTTTGTTGCCACCAACACTCGGCCTGGCAGCTCAGGCAGCCCCCTGTGCCCCCCAGTGCCTTCCCTGCGCTGTGACCTTGGGCAGGGGGTGGGTGAAAAACAATCCAACCAACCCCCTTTACCCCAGGATCCCCTTTTTTATCCCAAAATCCCCTTTCCCCAGGAGGAAAAAAGCCCAAAGCCAGCGAAGTGAGCCAGAAGCCTTGCCCCAAAATCCTGGCTGCCCACCGCCCCCCACCCACAGCGAGGGGCACAGAGCTGGGAGGGCAGCAGGGGAAGGTGCCGGGGGGAGCACGGGGGGCTCATCACGCCCAGCACCAGGCCGTGGTCAGAGTTTTTGCCGGTTATCGAGCTGCAGATGGTGCTGATAAAACTTGAGGAGGAAACAGGGAACCCTGGCAGCTGCCAGGGCTCGGAGGACCTCTGCTGGCACCGGCACTGCAGGGCAGGCTGCTGGAGGCTGACCCAGAAGACAACCAGCCATGAACCACCAACCCTCCTTGGCCAGGCTGTTCCTCAAGAAACACACCCAAAGGAGGAGATTTGGGCCAAAAGTCCCCAGGTTCAGGCTTTCAGCAGTGGCAGAGAGCTGCAGGAATTCCCTCGTGCCTCCATCAGTCGCTGTGACCCTGAGGACAGCCCTCCAACAAAACACCCGAGGCCCAGCAGCTGTGCAATGTTTATTCTTGAAAAAATAATTCGATTCAGAAAGCCCTGGGGATGCCCTCGGCCCCAGCCCGACCACAGCTGCCAAAGGGGAGCCTCGCAGGAGGAAGGGGAGCACCCAGCAGCCCGGCACACGCAGAGGGAAGGGATGAGGAGCTTGAAGTGCCCCGAGCCCTGCAGGACAGGGAGCAGCACAGAGCGGACCTGGAGCCATTCCCTGCCCCTGGGACCAGCATCTCCCAGCCTCAGGCTGAGCCCTGCCAGCTAAAAAGGGAAGGGGGCGTTGGGGTGAAGGGAAAAGGGGCCTTGGGAAGCAAGGTGCCAAGGGGAGGGCAGCAGAGCAGAGACAGCGAGGTTTCTCCAAAGCAGCGCCGGGGAACAAGTGGCTTTCCCACTGAGGAAGCTCAGGCCCTTCCCCAGAGCGGGTAACGGACCTGCTTCTATTAAACACAATTAATAAAATAATAAAAAAAAGCCCAGCCACATCCATCACCCTGGGAAGGGCAGCGCTGGGGGTGGCAGAGCGAGGAAGGGGTCAGCCCGAGCCCCGGGGCCGGTACCGTGAAGTCTCAAGGGTGCCACCCTGCACCCTGGGGACACGTGTGCCACCTCCTGCCTCTGTCCTGTGCCCACACAGGGACCAGTTGGGGCAGAGATTTGCTGGGTTCAACATTATTTTCCTACCCTGGGCAAGGAAGGAGGAGGTGAACAGAGAGGATGGCGCCAGGGGAACGAGGCAGAAGCCTTCCAGCTCTGCCTCCTGGCAGGCTGAGGGCTGCTGGCTCTCCACGCTACGTTCCTGCTACCTTCCCCCAAGCAATAAATAAATAAGTTACTGTAGTGTAGGCCCCAGCAGGCGCTGGGGTTGTGCTCCCGGGGGGCCCTGGCACTCGGTTCACAGTGAGAAAAGGAAGGGGACGAGCCCCTGGCCCACGGGGAGCTGCACCCCAGGGCCCAGCCCTCGCACCCCCTCCCTGTGAGCGCAGGGAAGGGGCTGAGCAGCAAACCCAGCTGCTGGCACAGCAGGCGAGCCAGAGCAGCCCTGCACAAGGGGCAGAGAAGTGATCTCCTGCCTCACGGATGAAGCAGGGAGGTGCACGGAGCAGGGGACTAGGGCTGGCCCTAGTGAGGGGAGGGGTGTTAGTACCATGGGGCTGGGGAGGGGGCCTGGGGTCCATCCTAAGGCACAGGAAGGGGGACAGGGACCCCCCTCCCTCTCCCTCTAGCAGAGGGTGTACCACAGCCAGGAGAACCAGGCTGCCCCTCCTGGATCCGCTCGCAGCATCCCTGCTGGCATCGTACCACAGTAAGGGGGGGTTCAGGGGAACATCTCCTCCCCGTCCTCAGCGGGAGCTGGGGTACCTGACAGGGAGGAGAGGCCCGGTGCAGTACCACGGGCAAGGACCACGCCACGCCACAGCGTTTCCTCTCTCCAGGAGCAGCTGCTGGAGAGCCCAGCTCCATCCTGCCTCTGCAGCTGGGGGAGTTTCCCCCCCTTGCTGCTCCCATCGCGCTCTGCAAGGCACTTTCACCCCCAATCCCCACGGAGGAGGTGGGTGAGGGTGGGCTGAGCTGCGGCGCAGAGCGGGGTCCTCCTCCCTCCGCAGCCCTCTAGGGCTCCCAGAACTGCAGGGAAAGGACAGGGGCACCCACCCGTCCTCGTGCTGGGGACAGGGTGCCCCCTGCGTGCCCACAAGTCCAGCTCCTCCTCAGCATTCCCTTCTGCCTCCATAATTCGTCGTGGCCCAAGCAGAGAGACGTCCGACCCAGTCTTCAAGGTGCAGGAAAAAGCAGCTGGAAAATCCCTTCTTCACCACCGTGCTCGCTGCGGGGGCAAGAGTTAATAAATAACACCCAGCCGGTGGGCTGCAGCGCTTGGGCAGGAGCAGGCTGCCTTCCTGGGAGCAAAAATAGGAGCAGAGGTGTTCCTAAAGGGCTCTCGCAGCCCCCACTGAGCACTGCCTTCCTCCAAACCTTGCCCAGCCAGGGGGCAATGGGAGCAGCATTAGTAAAGAGTCTGTGTTAAAAAAAATGTTCCTGGGACGATGGGGGTGGCATGTCTACGGGGAAGCACCCTGCCCCTGCGTGAGGGAGAGGGAGATTGTGACAGGGGGCTGGAGGCAGCCCCAGATCTCGTTTTGAGGCCTGAAATGGGAGTTCACGTCCAGCCACCAGCCTCCAAGAGCCGCTGCCAACTCAGTCTCTGCACCGGGGGGGTCTCTATCCTCTCCTGGCCCCCCCTCACTTCCCACAGCTGCCAGCCTCACGTCTGCTCCGCTGCAGCTACTGCTGGCACTGCCGCCGCCCCCTCCTCCTTGGCAGGCGGCTCCATGTAGATGGGCACCACTGAGGAGGGCTTCTTGGACCTGCAGGTGAGAAGGATGGGTGAGAGCTGGCACCAGCAATGCCAGGAGCTCCCAAAAAGCGAGCTGAAACAGAAGCAGGTGGCAGGGGACGGTGCCAGGGGGTGTTACCCAGGTTGCTGTGTCCCCAATACTCACGAGTAGGGGGAGGCAGGGACCCCCACGACCAGGAAGTGGTTTTTCTTGCGGAAGAGCCGCCACAGCCCCTTGTGGTTCCCGCGGACGTCCAGGTCCCAGATGTGGAGGCACTAGGGTGGAGGGGAGGGAGGGAAGAAGAAGCATCAGGGCCTGGGGACAGATGCAACGCTCCGGTGTCCCCCAGCGAGGGAAGAGCCACCCCCCAACCCTCACCAGGACACAGCAGAGAGGGAAGGGCAGCTTGGTCAGGGCAACACACCTCCACCTCAAGAAAAACAGCCAGGTGTTTTCTAGCAATGCTGAGATCAGTGCACGGGGAGGATGTCCTGTGCCAGGGCCTCACCTTGGCGAGCTGAGTCCAGGTGGTGAAGTCTGCTTCCTGCTCCATCTTGATGAACATGACGTACACCTTGCCCTCCGTGTCGGGCACAAAGGAGTCCTCACAGGGGTTCTTGCTGTGGTCCAAGACTTCAGCCTCACTGTGAAAACAGAATGGGGAGTGAGAAGGCAACCTGCTTCCTGCCTGTTCCGCTGCAGGGTGCTTCACACACGCTAGCAGTGGCTGGGGCCATCTCCACCCCTTTTTTCCATCCTAGCTGGTCCACCTAGTGGGTCCTCTGTGGATTCCCACCCTCCCTGCAGGCACTTACCCCAGGAGCCGATGAATTTCAGTCTCATAGGCATCTTTTCTCAAGCTGTTGAAGACAGAGCACAGAGACCAAGGCAAAGTCAGAGGGTTTGATAAGCAAGGACCATCCCCAAGTGATCCAAATTAAAAACTACCCCATTGTAACACTAAAATGCAGGTTGGAGACAATGGATGGAGAACAGGGACTGCCACACATCCTTGCAGGACGTGGCAGTAAAAATGTGACCTTTCAGTGTTTGCCAGGCCAGCTTTGAACTGCCTCCAAAGCATCCATGTCTTTGGGAGAAAATAAATAGAGAACAAAACCAAAACCCACACAGGGCTGATTGCTTGCACCTTGATAGGTCTAAGCTTCAAGCCACGCTTGGAAGATCAGGCACCTGATCAGTGAAGACAAGTATTAGGGACAGGTGGCTGACCCTCAGTGGGGCTGGGGTCTCACAAACAAGAAGGAGGGGTGCCTTATGCCCAGGCTGCTTCTGGGCTCCCCGGAACATGGCTTAGCTGAACACAACCTCGCAGAAAACACTGCAAGGATTCATCCAGAGGCACCAATGTGCTGTGACTGGAGGTGACCGATGGTGGTTGTGCCACAAGGGAGATGTTCTCAGCACATGCAACTGTTTCATCCAGACCTTTTTCTGACCAGTACTCACCTCTCCACATTTTTAAGCTGGACATTCGGAACCGTGTTGAACTTGTGCTTTTTGAAATAGGCTTCCTGGTAGAAAGAGGGAGAGGACGGGAAGAAAACAGGGTTTGGTCGGGAGACAGCAGCACTGGGACGTCACCTCAAGCATGTCCACTACTACCTGGAGAGCTGACTGGGCTCAGAGCTCAGCACCAGGACAGGCCCTGGCAGAGGTCACTCACGTGGAAGTAGCCGTTCATGTTGAGCCCCACGATGCCGAAGTGGTAGGAGCGCGAGATGTCGGGGATGATGCACTCCCGGCCCTTCCGCTGCTCCGGCATCCGCATCCACATGTCCCAGTCCCAGAGCTGGAGAAGGGAAACTGCTGCTTATGCTCACATTTGGGGACATCACTCAATAAAATGGCTGTAGAGGAACCCTTCTGGCTGCCCTAACAAGCTCCAGACCCCACAGCCCAGCTTGCTGGGGCTGTTCCAGCCAGCTCTGTGGCTGGTTACGTGGTCCTCATGTTAGTGCCTATCCCAAATCCATCCTGCTTGGGCATCCTTCACAGGAGAAGCTCAGGAAGAGCCAGGGCCCCTCCAAGAGCTGTACCCACAGGGATGAAGCGATGATCATGGACTGCTAATATGCAAAAATGTGGGTGCAGAAGACAAAGCCCCTCGAGGATACTCACCTTCTCTGGCGTTGGCCACTTGGGCTCCAGCTCATCCTTGTACAGGCTCTTCCGGAGCACCCAGCCCAGGCCCGGCATGGTCTCCACACGGTACAGGAGCGAGGGGTCCTCAGCTGTGTGCTCGTAGCCCTGTGACGTTATGGGGAGCAGTCAGCACCCTGAATGCATCCCTACCCCTCCAAAAAAAGGAGAAAACTTGCCCCATGGAAACACCCAGCACTGGAAGAAGCGGTCTGACACTGGGAAGCACGGAGCAGGGACAGGATGGAAATTTGCAGGGGCACTTCTGAATGGTATAGGGCTGGGGACACAATCAGGCTGATGGTGCTGGGGGAAACCTACTTTACAGAGAGCACTCAGACCCCAGACTTAGGAACAACAAAGGGCACAGCTGTCCCTGCTCCACCACCTCCCCCCGACCCACCTGGTCGTTCCACGCCGAGATGCAGTACAGGCTCTCGTCCTCCTCCAGTAGGTATATGGACTGGCTCAGAAAGCTGAGGAAAGAGTCACCCAGCTCGTGGTCAGATCCTTCCCGCAGACAAACAGAGGCAAATTCTCCACCAGGGAATGAGCCATCCCCAACTGCTGGGACTGTTTAACCCATCTCTTGGGCCAAAATGGCTGATGCCGGCATACGTACATGTGCAAAACAGGTCAGTGGCTCAAAAATAAACAAAAACAAACAAAAAAGGACAAAATTCACAAAATTCCAGATGCTGAAGTGCCCCTGCACCGAGTCCAAGGGACAGTGAATTCAATAAGCAGCCTCCATGCAGGCAGAGCTCACAGCTGTTGGCTAGGGACTGCCTAGCCCCAGCCAGGTGAGCTACATCGTGGCAGGGATCTGGCCTCTCCTGAGGCAGCCAGAGAGCTGCAATGAAACGCCCCTGAACAGAATCTCAGTGACCTGCAGCTTTACCTGAAGAAGTCAACAGAAATGTCAAGGTCTTCCTCCAGAACCACGGCAAATTTGGCATCCTGTAGGGCAAGGCAAGATGTCAGAAGGATGGAAAGGACCAGAAAAGAGCAGAGACACCAAGCAGCACCCCCTGGTTGTGCTGCTCCCTGCCCCACAGGACCAATTCCAGCTCCTGTGGGAGAGGCTATCACAGATGCCACTCTCCCACGGCAGCTCTGTGCTGCCTCACTTCCCAGGGCAAGCAGATAGACAGAGGGCAGAGGTCCCACTCACCGGGAACAGGTTGAAGGTTGCAGTCAGGCTGGCTTTGTAGTGCTGCAAGAACAGACACATCATTGCCTGTGTTAGAATCAGCACCTGGACCACAGGGAGGGGCAGCCTGGCACGGATGTGGGGCTAAGCCTGCCTCCCTCAAATACCATCCCAAGGAAAAGCTCCCCTGGGGGTTGGGAAGGGTCTCACCTGGGAAACTCTGGCATTTTTAATGCTGATGGGAGTGTGCTGGATTCCGGAGAGGCCAAACAGCTCCACAACATCCATCGGCTCCTGCAGTGGGAATGCAGAGAGGCTTCACATGTGTGGGGTTAGCCACATTCTCCCCACCCTCTGCCACAGCGTCAGCTCCCTGGAACAACAGCAGCATGCCAATCTCCTCTGTGTAGCTGTCCTCCTGGGGGCAAATGAGGCTCCAACTGCTGCTGTGCTGAAGACCCCACTGCAAGGAGCTCACCAAACCATCTTGGTCCCTAAGCCCCTAAATTTCACTAAGCCCTGCCACAAATTTCTGTTAGACTCACTAATTTAAATACCCAAACTTACACCCAAAGAGTATCTAAAAGGTCTCAAGTTTCCAGTTCCCCATGGCCAGTGCAGATACAAAACAGGTATGTCCAGGAACATCTTCCAGCTGATTAGAATCAAGACCACAACCAACTCCACTTCCTCCCACGGTTGCCAAGGACTCTCTGTCCAAGCACATTCTCACTGGGGTCAGAACTAATCTGCACTTGGGCTGAATTACCTCCGCTCCTAGAAGGCCCCACCAAAACCTTCTCCATCTTCCTAGTATCCACCACGGCAGCTCGAGCATCCAAGCTGCCCCCTCGCAGCAGAGGGATACTGCTCCAGTTGCCATGGCAATGGTTACTGCTATCTTTAACCACTCTGATGCACTGCAGTAACAGCCTGCACAAACACACCGGCTGCCCCAGCCCCATAGCTTGGGGAGAACTGCCCTGGGCAACTGGGAGCACATCCTGCTGCCACAGAGCCAGGCTTGCAGTGGGACTCTCTAGTGTGTTAGAAGGTTGAGCTGATGGGAAAGTCTTTGAACTCTCAAGAAACAGCTCTCCTCTACCAAGCCACAGCTTCCAGTGGCTTTTTTTCCAAGCCACTGTTTTCACAGCCTTGTGAAAACAGGCTTTTTTAGGGTTTCATGACTCCAGACTTTGCAAAGAAGCAGTTGAGGAGCACCCTCATAGCAGGAGGAAGGGTGAAGGGGCTCATAGCCTGCTAAGGACTAGGGTAGCACCACATTCCCTCAGCTGGGGGACCAAAGACCTGTTTACAGGGACCCCAGGAGTGTTCTCACCTCGTAGTACCCATCAATGAAGACCGTGATCATGCGAGGATTGACGCCCTGAGCTGACAGCAAGGAGCGCAGCATCCTGGGGAGAAACCGAGGGGCCTGAGCACAGCACGGTCCCCGTGGGTCCAGGCCACTCTGCACAGGGGTATGGATTCCTTGGGGTGGGGAAAAGGACACAGGATCCAAATGCTCTCCCCTTTCCCATGGCCAAGGACCCTGGGATCTGTCCCAGAAGCTTTACCCACGTTGTCTGAGCAGCAAGAGGGCTGAACCAAGCCTGACCTCGTGGCAAAGAGCAGCCAAGTCATGCCCCCAGAGCGGTTACCTGTACAGGTAGTTGGGGCGGTTCCCTGCAATAACAGCTACAGGCACGTCGAAGACTTTGTTGTCTTTGAGCTGGAAGAGAAAAACGTGTGTGAGTGTGCGTGGAGACTTCTGTTCAAACCTGTCATTGCTGTATTAAGGACAGCCCCTTCCCCATCGCCCCAGTGTCTTCTTCCTACACTGCCAGGGGCTAAGGGCTTGCCCAAGGGCAGTCATCACCACTCAGCTGCTGTGCAGGAACACGGCTCTACTTCTGAGCTGCCTGTGGTCCTGCCTGGCCCTCCCTCCTGGAGCCTTCTTGCTGCTCTGCCCCGTACTCACAGGATCAGGGTTGAATTCAATGGGTGTGGGGTCTTTGCAGCTGCAGACGCTGCCGTAACCTTCCACTTTGCTGCAGAACCTCCTCCGGCGGCGGTTCAGCTCCGTGTCAGGCCAGTGGCACTCAGCATCTGGAGGCAGCATGGAGAAAAAAGGATTCCTCACCCCACGGCCTCACCTCGTGTACTCCAGGCTGCCACTCGGATGGCTCGCCCTGGGCTCAGCTATCACCAAACCAGTGCTTGTTGCTGTGAACAAGCATCACACTCCCACTGCATGGCCTCTCTGAGGCAGCAACAGGCCTTGTTTGAGGCCAACAGTCAGAAAAGGCTGGATCAGGCCTCGTTTGGAGAGCTGACAAGTGGCCACAACATGCACCCAGTCCCTCACCCTAACCTTTCCCTACGATCACACCTGAAACAGCCACAGAAGCAGGCAGAAGGGAAGCTGGTGCCATTATAAGTTATCATCCCATCTCAAACAGCCCTAAAGCCATTCTGTGATGTTGCTAACACACCCACGGCTCTGACTCGAAAGCACCAAGAACCGTGGGCAGACGTTCTCCAGAGACACCCAGCGCCGCAGAGCAGATTTTATTTCCCTACCTTCCACAGATGTCAGGTGGACTTCTGTCTTCAGCAGCACAGGGTCGCCCCACGTCGAGAGGGCAGGAGACTTGGCGTGCTTCTCCCCGTACACTTCCCCTGGAGAAGGGACACGGCATCAGGACAGGCTTGAAGAGTCAGTTCCCATCGTGTCAAGGCATGAGCAGAGCTGCAGCTCAGGGCGGTGACTTAGCATCCTGCCCTTGGCTGTTGGGGAGCTGCTAAAGGGAAATGCTCTGCCTCTGTCCCCTCCCTCACCCCCAGAAATGGGGCTGTCCACTCTTCTGTGACTCGTTGTCTGCTCATAGAGCATTTTGGGGATGGGCTGGGTTTGTCTTCACCTATGAAGGAGCTACAAACACTCTCCTGGCTAAGTGTTAACCTCTCTTACCTCCCTTCTTCCCCACAAACGTCCACATGTCTCTCCAGCTCAGGAACGGTGCAACTTGGCTCCCCAGGCTCTTCAGGACATTCTTGGCTGTGTCCTTGAGGTGAAAGGAGCCTTCATCCTGGAAGGAAACACAACCCTGCAGCTGAGGTCCGTGTACCAGAAGAGCCATCAATACCAACGAGACACAGGGCCCATTTCCACCCTTGAAACATCTGAGCCAGAGAAATTCCAAAGCAGGTTCCCAAGATCTCCACACCACTAAACCTACTGGTTGTTTCACCACGACCTACGGGCAGGTCAGAGGAGTCAGACTCCTGTTTCCTTAAGAGCACGCTGTTCTCCAGCAGGGACAGTGTCTGCCAATACTTCACACCTCTGAACCTGCCACCTTGGGAGCACGGCGCTGTTCACAGAGTGGCCCAGAGCCAGCACAGCCCACCCCCATAAACAGCCTGGAGCTGGCACAGAACACCACCCGGAAAGGTCCCACTGCATCCTTGTATTTCATCCTCCACCTTGCTTACACCTGCAAGTTCTGATACACTTTTTTTGCCCTCCAGCCTTACTGGGCACACAGCAGTAACCAACCAGGGAGAGTGAGAGGACGAGGGAGGTGCCCAACCAGGGAGACACAGCACAGCTGGGAATGCGACATTTCGCTCTGGGAACGCCCAGTGACATTCAAATGTCCAGCTTGAGGGCGTCCTGATTCGAGGTGACATCTTCTGTTGACACTTAATGTCACCTACCTTAATAGTGAAGATCAGGATTCGGCCCCGGGCAACCATGTTGAGGAAGAGTACCATGGCTTCGTCTTCATGAGGAGAGTAGGTGTCAAAGACCCTCTTGGCCATCACGTGACCCTGTTGGCATTCAAACACAGACACATCTTAAATTTTATATAATCAGGACAGGCGGGAATATGGCAATCTGCCCTGGAAGTCTCAGATCCAGAGCAAAATGATGAGTTCATTTTCTGATACACCAAGGAGCAAGTCCCCAGGCAGGCTCTGCCTTCTTGCAGCACACGAGGTACTAAGGGGCAGCTTCAGTCAATCCCATGACTCCTTCCTGCTCCCCAGTGACATTCCTCTTGGGGTTCACCTTTCTCCCAGTCTAAACTGCCCAGGAAACCAGTCAAAGCCTTTCTGAGCTCGGCAAGCACAAGAGAAACACCGCATTGCACTCTGGCATCTGGAGGCAAACTGGTATTCAGTCTTCTCTCCTGGCTGCCCGTCTCCTCACACTCCCAACAGTGAGACAGGGAGGGAAAACCCAGCTCATGGAGAAAAGCCCCACGCAGCCACGCAGGGATGCTTTACCGTAGCCTGGTTTAAGACGATGACGTGGATCCCTCTGCCCTGCTCACGAGCCTCATCTTCCAGGACCTGCAGGTGGAGAAGTGATGAGAACCAGAAGCCAGCTCCCCTTATTCCCTGCCCATTTTGCACAGCAGGACCCCAAACCAAGGCAGGTCTCTGTGCCTTCTGGTCAGCCACAGAAGTGCTCTCACTGCCTGGGGCCACAGCGTCACCCGTTCAGCCCCATCCTCCCGCTCACCGTCGTTCCATCCACAGCCACGTAGACCTTTGACCTGCTGGAGTACACCTCGACATCCAAGACCTTCTTGTTGCTCACAGGGTGCCTAGGGACCTCCATGTTCAGCAGCTCATCATCTACAGGGGAAGAAAGCCCAGTCTCAACCAGCCCAAGCACCTCTGGCTTGGCTGAGCCCAGCCAAACCCCCAGCTCCCCAAGCCATGGGTCAGAACCTAAGGGGAAAGCAAGTGAAGGAAATCCAACAGAGCAACAGGTCTGCCCCCTTGCAGACCTCTGCAGCCAAAAGAGTTGAAGCCCTGAGTAGTCAGACGAGGAACATCAACATCCTTTTCTATTTTTTGTTAAACCCACAGGCGCAGACCTGTCTTTCATGCTGTAGCTGGTCACGTTTCCCCAGACTTAAGGAATTACTTCCTGCCCCTCACCGTAATCCTGTGCAGACTCCTCTTCCTCCTCATAAGCAGCTCTCCGGGTGTCCAAGATCAGTTTGATGTTCACGATCACAGTTACAAGCAGGAAGAGGACAGCTCCTGTCTGCAATGCAGGATGCTTTGTGTTAGCAACTTGCAGCAACCCCAAACTCAGGCCACCTCCCTGGCAGACCTGCAGGGCACCCCAAGATGATCTGCCAAGGGATCTTCAGTACCATTGCCCCCTTCCTTCTTTTTCAGACACAGAGTAAAGCAGAAACTATTCCACACCCAGAGGACCTTTTTTAAGACAGAAAGACTTGGACCACGAAGATCCAGTGGTGGGAAATCATCAACCTGCAAGTGGAAGCTGCAAGATCCCAAGAGGATGGCCGCAGAGTTGCGGCGCTGCCTGGGGTACAGGACAGCCTGGGTTTGAAGGCAAGGCCTCAGCTGACACCTTCACACCCAACACTGCCACAGAGCTGCCAGCAGCGCCTGCCTGAAAGATTGGGCCTGATCCCAAGGACCCTGAGCAGTCTCCTTCGCCAGGGAGCCCTCACGAGCCTTTGTCCCCCACAGGCAAACACAAAACCTTCCCCTTCTCCTTCCCTCAGTCACTGACTGCTAAATTTCACCACACTCCACTCACTGTGGGAATAGCTCCATTTGTGCAGCTCCATGGGCAAACCCTCCCCGTCCTTATACCCCCAGATGTCCCCTGGGATGGCAGCTCAAATACAGATTAGCAGTTTTGTGGTACAGGTGAGCAGGCCCGTGGCTTTTGTAGACAGCAGCTACCTCTGGGGCACAAGATCCTGTTACTCAGTCCTATTTTCTGTCTGCCTGTTGTGCCTTATACCAGACTTGGTTTGCAAATCATCTGGCAGGAATGGTTTCCCACTGCGGGCAGAGCCCTGCAGCACTCAGCACACGTACAGAACCAGGAGGGAAGGCATCAGCTGAGCGTGATTTTTTGCTAAGTCTCCCAAGGAAGCCTGAACAGCTTTATCTTCTGCCTTATCCACTTAATAATCCATTTGCAGCTGGAAGGTGCTGTTAGATGTAGCAGACCCCTTCATGCAGCAGCAAAAAGCCACTGGGGTGGATTTTCTAGGAGCAGCTTTGGCTTCCCCAGCATGTCAGCTCATCCAGGCCTCCTGTCAGACCCCCCTCCACCCGTGCAGCTGCCCCACGAGCCTCCAAACCCCACAGATTCACCTCCCTCACCCACCCCGGGCGGCTCACCTGGCACAGCTTCCTCAGCGCCCGCTGGTTCATGAGCTTGTACTTCCAGGCCAAGTACCAGCTCCGCTTCTTGTGGGGCTTGACGGCGGCGGCGTTGGGCTTCCACTCCTCCATCCTCACGGGGGGGGGGGCGGACAGAGGGACGAGGGTCAGGAGGAGGCGCTGGGCTCCTCACGCGGGTCCATGGGGGCTCCCTGCGGGGACGGGGTGGGCACAGGCTGAGCCCCAAACCCCCTCCCCTGCACAAACAGAGCCTGGCAGCCCCCCTCACCCCCTCCTCACACTAATAAACCACCTGCACGGGGAGCAAGGAGAACCCCCGAGCCCCAGGGCCTCCTGAGGGCCCCCCCAGTGCTGCGGGACGGCCCCGACCCCCCCGCGCTGTGGCGCCCAGGCCCGAGGCCTAGGCCGGGGCGGCCGGGAGGAGGCCTCAAGAGGCGCAGCAGCGGGCCCAGCCCCCCCGGTGTCGGCTGTGGGGTGCGTGAGGACACCTCAAAGCCCCTTCAGGGCGCGGGGCCGCGTCCCGGAGCTACTCACGGCGAGCCGGGGGCCGGGGCCGGGCCCGCTCCGCTCCGCGCCCCGCTGGGCGCCGCCGCCGCCCCCTCAGCACCGGCGGGGCCGCGCCGCTTCCGGCGCCGCAGAGCGCCGCGAGACGGGGGGGCGGGGCCTCGCTTAGCCCCGCCCCCTTCACGGCTGCGGCGGGAGGGGGCGTGGCTTGTGAAGGAGTGGGCGTGGTTTAAGACAAAGCGGGCGTGGTCTGTGGGGAAAGTGGGCGTGGTTTAGGGAAAAGTGGGCGTGGTTTATGGGAAGAGGGCGTGGCTTAGGAAAGGGGGCGTGTCCCCGGTGACAGCGCCGCCCGGGGCCGCCGCCCGGTGCCGCCCGCATGGAGCTCGGCGGGGAGGCGCTGCCCGCGGAGCTGCGGGAGCTGGCGGGGAAGCTGGGCCGCCGGCCGCCCGCCGGGCTGCTGCGGGGGCTGCGGGCAGAGCCGCCCCTCCCGGTGCCGCTCCCGGTGCCGCTCCCGGTGCCGGTTCGCGGAGCCCGCCCGCCGCTCGCCGATCGCCTCCGGGCGCTCCGCGTGGAGCTGGTGAGTGCCGGGCACCCCGCCGGGGGTGGGGAGCGGCGCTTCGGTAGGGAACGGGGGGATAAAGGGAGCCCCCCGGGAGCGGCGGGGGGGCGGTGGGGAGGCCTCCGGGGTGGAACCGGGCGGCCCCGGTGCCCCCGCGCTGCGTGGCTGCACTGTGAGCCGGGGGGGAAGGTCCAGAGCCCGGCGGCTGGGAGGAGGAGGAGGAGGAGGAGGAGGAAGAGGAGGAGGAGGAGGAGGAGGAGGAGGAGGAGGAGGAGGAGGAGGAGGAGGAGGAGGAGGAGGAGGAGGAGGAGGAGGAGGAGGAGGAGGAGGAGGAGGAGGAGGAGGAGGAGGAGGAGGAGGAGGAGGAGGAGGAGGAAGAGCCGGGCGCTTTCCCTTCCCATCCCCGCCCCGCACAGCCCCGCCACCCGCACCCCAAAACCGGGGGGCAGCCGGGATGCCGGGGGTCCCCATCCCCCCCCGCCCCGTCCCCATAGCCCCCTGTCCCCAAGCAGGACCCGAAATGTCCCCCCCGTGGGCGCAGCGCCACGCCTGCCCCCCCCCCCTCCTCGCCGCAGCCCGGCGTGGGCGGCGAGGGGAGGAGGCAGCGAAATCCTACATTTTCCCCGACCCAAATGGGTTGTTTTGTCCTCAGGGGAACGATCCCGCCCGTGGGAGGGACGGGGAGAGGGTTTAGGGGCGAGGAGCGCATCCTGCCCCGCTGCTGGGCTGCCCTTTGGTGCCCTTGGGGACGGAGGTGGCGCTTGGCAGGGTGGAAATCCTAATTGCAGCCTCGTCCCCACAGCCTTTGGCCAGTTTCCTCCCGTTGCCCCAAATCTGTCAGTCCTGGAGGGAGAAAACACCAACACCGTGGGTCCTACTGGGTCGCTGCCCCCTTTTAGGAAGGGACATTTCAAGAGGATGGGATGGGATGGGATGGGTTGTCCTGTGTCCCCCAGTCCCGTGCCATGCACCGGGCACCGCGGTCACCACTTGCAGGGACAGGGACCTATGGGGCAGCTGGCTTCTTGTAGGATCTTGTAGGATCTTGTAGGATCTTGTAGGATCTTGTAGGATCTTGTAGGATCTCGGTGTCCTTCCACGCTGCCCTCACCTGGATGCTTGCAGGGGTGCAGCGGCAGGGTTCAGGCTGGCCCGAAATCTCAGCAGACCAGCCAGGGACATGAAATCTGGGGAGCATCCCTCATCACCAACCCATCCCTTAATTTGGGGTGGCTTCTGGCCTCAGAGCCCTGCTCCCCCCTCACCTCCCCACCTGCTGCAGCTGGATGTGATGGAGAAAAACGCAATTTTGGGGGACATCAGCAGCTCCCAGGCTGCCTCGTCCAGCGCGTCCCCCCCCCGTGCCAAGGCCAGATGCTTTCGGAGCGTGCGGAGAGGTCCGTCGGAGGCGGTTTGTGAAATAACTTGCCTAGAAAGGAAGTTTCTGCAGCTCGCAGCTGGCTCCTGCCCCAGCCTGGGCTGGCTGCAGCGCTCTCATCCCTTCAGAATTTATTTATTTTTAAAAAAAAAATCCAGCCCGATGGGTCTGGGGAGGGGCAGGGGGTTGGTGTCGGGTCCCTATAGGCGTTCGCCCTTTTCCTCTGCATCCTCTGAGGCGTCGCGTGCCGAAATCTCTGTCCGGAGCTTTCCCAGGCTCCTTCCCCCGGTGGCTTTGTCCCGCTGCCAGCCGTGGGAGCGGAGCTGGGGCTCCCCGGAGACCCGCGGGGCACGCTCGGGGCAGCTTTTCCCTGGGCTGGGCTCACCAGCTCCCACACCTCCAGCTGGGATTTGCTTTTGGAGATGCTGCGCCCGCAGCTCCCCTCGCACCGGCCGCCCCTACCTGGGTTTCTCTCCCTTTCTCCCCCCCCCTTTTTGCCTTTTTATTCCCTTTCCTGGCAAAATATTTCCTCCCCGCGCAGGGGAAATCCAGTGGCTTTCGGCGGCGAGTATCGTAGGGCCAGGAATGTCTTGGCACGCCGGGCTTCCCGTTAGGAAACCAGATGTTGCTGCGGGAGCTCTGCGCAGAACTTCCCCCGGCCCCGCAGGGTGGGACCAGCGATAGGGACCCCGTAACCCCATGGTACCCCCCCCACGGCTCCAGGTTGGGCACAAAGAAGGGGCAGGATGGATGCTTTGGGTCTGATTTTTCTTGCATCTCAAAAAAAAGGTGATGTTTGGCTGGGATTTTGGGGAGGGATTTGGGTTTCGGGCATCCAGGGGCTCAGATCTGGACCCACCCCGTGCCCACAGTTATTTCCTTGCCCCCATCCCCATGGGGCTGCCTGTGGATGGGGCTGGCTGCGTGGGTGCCACGAGTTATTAATCCTTGATAATGGGGTCCCCACGTCTCAGACAGGACCCCGGGGCTGAAATTTGGGGCTGTTGATCTCCAGGGACCGGGGATGGAGGAGGGCGAAGTGTGCCGTGCCCCTGCTGAGCCGTGCTCTCCATCTCTCCCCCTGTTCCCACCCCAAACCCAGGCTTACCTGCGGGCGGTGGACGTGAAGATCCTGCAGCAGCTGGTGCTGGTGAACGAGGGCATCGAGGCGGTGAAGTGGCTGCTGGAGGAGCGGAGCGCGCTGCCCAGCCGCGGCAGCAGCCTGGCCAGCAGTCAGTACAGCCTGGCGGGCAGCCAGGCGGCCTCGCGGCGGGGCAGCTGGGACAGCCTGCAGGACCCCCTCCCCGACAAGCTGGACAGCATTTCGGTCGGCAGCTACCTGGACACGCTGGCTGACGACCTGGACGAGTATTCCCAACACGCCCCCGAGCCTCCCGTCCGAGCCCCGGGGAGAGCCGAGCAGGATTGGGGCAGGATGGACCCCGAAAAAGCGCTCGGGAAGATGGAAAAGGGCAAAGCGGAGCACTGAGTGGCCCCCCGGAGACCTCGCCCCGGAGCAGCAGCGGTTTGCCAAGGAGCCCCAAGTGGCCAACGGGTACTTGGGCAAGCAGCCCGGCCCTTTGGAACCGGGCAAAGACCCCAAAATGCCAGCGGGGGCCGGGGAGAGGATGGGGAAGGCTCGGAAAGCCGAGGGTGACTCGGAGAGCTGCAAGCTCACCAGCAAACTGCACGCGGAGTACGACGCCCACTGGCGCTGGCTGCAGTCCCAGGACGACGTGACGTTCTTGTAGCCCCTCTGCCGGTCCTCACGCCCCCGGCCCCGCTCCCCTCATCGCCTGCTCTGCTTCCTTCGGCCCCGCTCGGGAGCGTGGTGTGGCTGGGAGGGGGGTCGGGGTGGCTGGGGGGTGTCCCCTCGTCCCTCCGAGCCCCCCGCGTGGGGACGCAGCTCGGAGGGGCCGGGTGCGGGCTGCCCGCCCCGTGGGCAGTTTGTGGGGAGGGAGGATGAGGTGGGTTCCCCTAAAATTAATCCTTTGCTCTGGGGTGAGCTGAGCGCCCCCGTTGGGCGTGCTTGTCTCCATCGCCCTCTCCAAGGCCAGCATCCCTCAGGTCTGACCTGCAGGATTTGGGGCCACAGCACGTGGTCGATGCCAAAATCCCCTTCCCTGGAGGGGCAGGAGGTTTCTGTGCCCTGCAATGTGGTGGGGTGGGCACCGTGGCTGCTCCGTGGGGCTCTCTCAGTGCCCTACAGAGGAGGGATTTCGGCACAGATCTCCCCTCCCTGCGTGCCTGCAGAAGGGCAGAGCAAAGTGGGGGTTTCCTGATGTGTTTCGAGGCTCCTCCACCAGCGTGGATTTGCAGTGCCCCTGCCCTGGAGATGCCCTCTGTGCCCTTGGCTTCTTCCCGTGCCTTTCAGTGCCCACCCGCTGTGCCCCCCAGCACCCCTGGCTTGCAGAGCATGGCTTGTGCTGGAGCAGGATCTGCTCCCTCCAACAGGTGATGCGGGGAAGGACCTCAGCATCCCACAGCTTCATGGGGTGGGGGAACGAGCCTGGAAGCTCCTGGCCCCAGCTGGGTGCTGTGACAGCCGCCTGCTTGCCTCGGCGCAGGTTTTCCCCTCCATCTGTGAGCTGAATCCTGGCAAAGACCTTGCTCGTGGCTTCCCCCCGCGTAGCCACCACGTCCCCCGAGGCTGGCGTCCCCAGCTTTCCCTCGAGCCCTGCATGCTGTGACCCCGCTGGGGGTCCCTGGGGGGGAGCCTAAAGTCCTCTGGCATTGCTGAAACCGCTGTCGACAAAAATAGCTGGCTTAATAAATGGTTGCATTTCTCCAAGGCCACACTGTTGGTGCTTTGGGGAGCTCACAGAGGTGTTGGGGGGGGGCTTCTACCCCTGGTGGGAATGCCCTGGGGCCAGCCTCCCTGTCCCTGCTACCCACAGCCCCCGGAATAGGAGATCCCCCAAATCCAGACCTTGGAGATGGAGGGGGGCTGATGAGAGCCATCACATCCCAGAAGCTCCCGGGGGATGTCTGCCTCGCTGCCAGGTGGGGCTTTGGGGGCTGCAGAGCACCCGTGGGTGGGGGCAGGCTCCGTCACGGGGTGCTTTGGTGCTGGGACCCGGCAGGGAAACAAGCAGATAAGGCAGGAGCTGAGCCAGTGCCAGAAAAACGCCCACCTCGTGGTATAACACCACCAGCCAGCCAATTCTTTCTTTTTAGATAGACACAGAGATTAGGCTGCCTTAACGAGGCAGTAAAATGCTTTAATAACCAGCGAGGAGAGCTGTTAAAAAGTCCCCTGGGCTTTCCCCTCCCTGCGTGCCCCCCAAAAGGGCCTGGCCCCTAAGCGCTGTGGCCATTTAATAACTTACACCAACCCTTGTGAGGAAATCACCTTTTCCCAGGGAGGGAAGAGCCTGGGGCCGGGTCCCAGGGTCTGAGGGGTGGCATCCAGCATTTTCCGGGAGGAAAATGCTGCGATTTGGGGCTGCTGGAAAATGCACCCGAGCCGGCTCCGTGCCGCATGCGAGCACCGGCTTGTCCTGCACCTCCCCGCCACCGCCCTGCCTCCGGCACCAGCTCGGGGATGGAGAGATAAGAAGGTCTCGGCAAAATGGGTCCGAACGGGCTGGCAGAGCCCTGCTTTCTGCTGCCTTTGTGCTTTGTGGGGTGACCCAGGCACCCCGCTGTGCTCAGTGCAAGTGGGTGCGCCCGCGGTGCCGGCTGTGCTCCCTTATCCCCGTCCCTCCTCCCCGAACCCATCTGCCTCTGCTCGTGAGGCTGCGCTGCAAAACATTCAGCGTGGGACCTCGGCGGAGGCTCCTCGGCATCTCAAAAATCCCTTCTGGCCCCCGCAGCAAATGCTCTGCCCATGCCTCACAGCTCCCGGCCCTCCCCGCTGCTGTAACCCTTGGTGGGGAGCTGCGGCTGTGTTTCGGCGGCAGGGCTGGTGTCCTGGGGAGGCTGAAATGTTGGCGCTGCTCTGAGCACAGCGGTGAACCCCTGGGGACACCAGTCCCATATCCAAACTCCCCGGTCCTGCCTCGCTCCATGCTCAGGACCCCTTTGCATTCCTGGGTTTGGCAGCATCTTGGAGCAGGGACCCCTTCCCAGCCTGTCCCCAGCGTGTGGATGTTCCCAGCTCCAGTCTGGATTTGGCCCTGGTACCCAAATTTCTCGTGGGCTCAGCTCTGCAGGGATGAAGGGACAAGGACGGGCTGTGGGTTTGGGCTCCAGGCTCGGTTCCCTGCCTTGTACCCCCTGGGGAGGATGCTCCAGTTGTGCCACCTTCTCCTCCCCTGTGACCTGTCACTTAGGAAATGTCCCCCCTGTTCCCTTATGGGGCTGGGGACACCCTGCTCAATGCCCCCCCAAGGGTGACACCAAAGGCTGGGTGACCACGGGCACCCCCTGGCCTTTTGGGGTCACCTCGTCACCACCTCCTGCCCACCAACCCCGCTCAGGTCCCCGGTGGGAGGGGAGAGGAAGAAAAATCTGCGTTGCCCCTCTGAGAAATTAATCTGCTTTTATCGTCTTAGCCCAGCCTGACCTAAAAGCACGCCTCTGTTGTTTTTTCCACGGGACGTTTAAAGGGAAAATTACAGTAAACACGCTGCAAAGAGGCCGTGGGAGATAAGGACCGGAGGAAAATCAGCACGAGCAAGGGCTGCATGGCCTCTGGCAGGATTTCACGTGCTGCCCCGCTCCTGGGGGCTGGATAGAAGGACATCTGCTGGATAGAAGGACACCCCCTGTGAGCACATAAAGCAGGAACAGCAGCGGGTTAAAACACGCTGGGTGCAGGCTGGGGACCTCTGGAGATGTCCCCGTGCTGCACGGCCACCCCTCGTGGTGACAGCTGGCTGTGTCCCCAGGGTGGGGACCCTCTTCTGCCCCATTTCATGTTTTTTGTCCCCAAAGGAACAGCACAGGAGGCCCAGGTGCCAGCCCTGCCCTTGCAGCTCTGGTGTGGGGCCTGCAGTGGGGACCCCGGGGGCGCAGCACAGTTTCTGCTGCGTGCTTCGCAGGGCAACCTCGTCCTTTTTCCTTCTCTGCCACATTTTTGGGGTCCTGAGCCCCATCCTGCTGCTCTGCCAGGCTTGCATGTAGGGGTCTTGGCTTCAGGAGGCCTGGAAGGAGCTGGCGGCCACAGGAGGGAGCTTGGCTCCTTCCTTCACATCCCGCTCCGAGGACAGCGGGTGACACAGGGACCTGGCCACAAGTGACCTGGGGGACCCCAATACCCAGCCCCATGATGCTGAACAGGCAGGGGAAGGAGGAGACCAGCCAGCCCAAACTACACCCTGTCCCCCTGGGACCCTCCCATGTTCCCCAGCCCACTTGCTGCCACCCCATTCCTGGGGCCCAATAGGGCCAGCACCTCCCCAGGACCCCAAATCCTTCCTGAAGGTCAGTGGATGCGTGGTGGGCCTAGCAGGGATATCCCCACCTCACAGGGAAGGGACACACACACACACAGAATTAGGGGAGCAGTGACACCCCCAGCCCACACAGAACAGCCCCCATCTCCCCCCAGCACCCCCAGTAGTGGCACCACAGCCCCATCAGTGCTTTTGTGGGGTTGGTGAGGTCCTGGACGAGGCCCTGGCCCTGCTACGGGATGCTCTGGCTGCCTTAGGCCGGACCGTTTGCCTTTGACCAGGATCAGGCCCCCAGGCGTATTTATTCATTTATTTTGGCCTCCCCCCACCCCCCGCGCCCCAAAGAGCTGGGTTGGCTGCAGGTGGGGCCCTGTCCGTCCATCCGTCCACCTCAGGGGACAGACAGCACGGCAGGGGGGACGAGGAGGCCGTGGGGGGCTGTGAGCAGGGATTTGGGTGGACACCCCCGTTTCTCCTTGTCTGCTGCCTGCTCCTTTGCCCTTTTCACCACCCTGTCCCCATAACATGACACAAGGGCGTGCCAAAGCGCCTCCCGTCCCGTCCCTGCCGTGTCCCTCTTCCAGCTCCGTCCCCCCGGTGCATTTCTCCAGCTGCCTTGTCGCAACTCACAGGGAAGAAAAGGAGGGCACGGACCCACGGGCAGCCACCGGGGTGGGACCACCGAGCCCTCCTGCCCCCCCCAGCAATGTCCTTAGGGCTTGGCACAGCGGGGACGAGGAGCACTTCGCCCCCCCAGCACAGTGACAGCCGCCCCCTCTGCTTGTCCCCCTGCATCCCTGCGAGGGGTTCTGCGGGACAGCAGCACCCGTCTGTCCACCCCAACGGTCCTGCCGGTGGCGAGAGGGGACCACGGAGACGTTTCCCTTGGTCCTTCCCCATCCGTGCCACGCGTCCCGTGCCGCCGGTCACGTCTGCTGTGGCAGCTGGCAGGTCTCGCCGATGGCGATGGCCACGTCGTGGGGCTGGCGGTCCCGGCGCCGCGGCGCCTCGGGCCCCTCGCCCATCTCGTGGAGGCTGCTGCTGATGCAGTTGACGTCGCTTTTGTTGCTGTTGTCGTCCGGGCTGGGGCCGAAGATCCAGTCTGGGGATGGAGGAGGGAAAAGCAGGAAAAGAGACCCTGGTTATTTCGGGGTGTTCCCGGAGTCAAAACCCAGCGTGCCCATTAGGAAATCCTCCGTCCCCATCCTCCATCCCCATCCTCCATCACATCTCTACCTCCGGGTGCTAAAACCCAGGAGGGTCCCTCACCCTCCCACCACCCCAAAACCATTCTATTGGCTTTTTGCCACTATTTTTTTTTAATTTTTTTTTGCTTTTCTCCGCTCTGTGCCATTTCTCAAGCTGCCGCTTTCTGGAAGCCCTCCTGGCCCAGGCAAATGAAATCACGCTGCTAATCCTGAAAATTAAAACTAAGCGTCTCCGAAGCAGGGCGTGCATCTGGGCTCCCGGCACGGGAAGGCGAGGTGCTTTGTGCCGTGCCTTCTGGCTGTCACAAACGGAGGGGATGGTGAAGTAACCGTGTGACATTCAGATGTGGCTGCAGCTGAAATAAGTAAGGCAAGATGGGCTGAGCCAGCAGCTGGGAGCTGTGGCCGGGGACACAAGCACCACGAGAGGGTGTCACGGCCGCACCAGGGCTTGGGACCCCTGTCGGGTGCTGTGGGGCTGCCCTGGGGACGTGGCTTGCACCCGGGGTTACTGATTCCCCCAAAGTCCAGAGGTCGCTGCTGGATGGTGCTGTGACCAGGATGTCCCCTGCAGCACGAGGGGCTGTGGTTTGGGGGAGGCAGATGCTGCTGCTTCCCAAATACCTGTTATTTCTGGGGTGGTGAGAGCCCCAGAAATGGGATAAGCAAAGGTGGGGAAACCCAGGTGAGGGGAGAGGTGTCCTTGGGGCTGGGGAGGGCACAGTGGGGGTAGAAACATCTCCAAGGGGGACCAGGATGCTCTCTGGGATGGATATTTGGTCCTCAATTCCTCGTCTGACCAAACAGGGGTGGAAAGGGTGAGGGATCAACACAATCACAGCCACGTAGGGAGGAGCTGGGCAGTGTCCCAGGTGCGATGGGGGCTGAAGACACAGCTGGGTCAAAGCCCACCGCGGGGGAGCAGAGGGGTGGGTGTCCCCTGCCCCTGTGAGCACCTGGGACGGCCGCAGCCCTCGCCTGGCGTGATGAGGAGCCGGCAGGCAGTAACGAGCTTGCCTCCCACAAATACTATTAAAGCCCTCGGCACGCTTTCCTTGACGTCAGTGCTAAAACTCCGGTGGGAGCCAGCCTGGCCGGGAAGACCTGGGGATGGGGAATCAGCCCAGGGTTCAGAGAGTTGGGTGAGGGGTCCCGAAGCATCCCGGGGACTGTAGGATGCAGAGGGTGTGAAGGCAGTGGGAGGAGAATAAAATATTATTGAGCACCTGTGGGCACGGGGAGGTGGCACCTGGTGGCCGGGTGGCGAGCCCCCGGGGATGCGTGTGGGCAGCATGAGATGCAAGAGCAGGACACGGCGGTGGTAAAGGGAGAAATGCAGGGGATTTTTGGGGAGAGCACCGGGAGGGCTCGGCAAAAGGCTCTCAGCATGTCCTCTCCCGAGAGGACGTCGCTGGCTGGTGCTCGGTCTGCTCCCCGGGTGCGTGCGGGCAGGATTGTGCGCGCTAATCCGAACCGCCGCTTCCCTGGGAATTATTTCTGGAGCCTGCTGGATCTAATTACCCGGTAATCTGCAGGAAGATGTAATTAGGCTGTCATTAGAGGGTATTTACTGCGATGCCTTTATGATTTGACTGTGTAAGTAAGGAGTGAAGTAATTACACAATTACACGTTATTTGTGGCCATTTGCGGCCTGTAGCTGCGGCGTCCTGCCGTGTGTGGAGGGGGGGAGCCGGGGAGGGCAGCGAGGCCCCGCGTGGAGCTGGCGGGGGAGTGTTGGGATGGGGATGAGGATGGGGATGGAGTTGGGATGGGGTTGGGATGGGGTTGGGATTGGGTTAGGATGGGGATGGGGATGGGGATGGGGATGGGGATGGGGATGGGGATGGGGTGCTGAGCCTCACATCATATGTAAGCACGAGTTAGAAATCTTCTATGATAAATGCTGCAGTAGGGTCTGTAGCCAGCTAATGAAGGGTGCTGAGCAGCCGGGAGCTGAGGGACGGTGCTTACAGGCTGAAGGTAGGTAAGGCCCTTAACATCGTGATGGGTATTTCTCTCTCCATCACATAAATTTTTAACACATGAGCAACGTAAAATGAACACAATTGCCACCAAGAGGAAAACAGAATCCTGCTTTGGAGCAAAGTCAACCTTCACGTTTACACGTGGGCCAGCTAGGAAGGGAGGAAACCGGGCTGCAGCACCTGCACACACACACAGGAGCCCCCCTAACAGGGGCCGGGCTGCAAATTCAGGGCACACAGGCATGCACCAACACCCCCATGAACACCCCAGATAAAAGAGAAAGGGACAAAGCGACTTTCCAGCCAGGCTGGGGGAGCAGCACCTGGCTCTCAGCCCCCTTCCTGCTCTCCCACCGGCGCCTGCTGGAGCCTGGCAGGGTGGAAGCGCGGCGCTGGGGGGGGATCGATGCGGAGCCATTGATCCAGAGCAGCTGGGGAGCGGAGATAGGGCAGCCCTGCTGCATCGGGAGCTGCGGGACGGCGTCGCTCCCTAAATAGCTGAGTGACGTGGCACAAAGTGCCCTGTGCTCTCTGGCTCGGTGCGAGGCAGCATCCCAGCCGTGGGACCCTGGGGATGCTGCGGGGAGCCCGCACAGCCACTCGGGCTGGTTTCAGAGGGCTAAAGCCCTTGTTCTCTCTCTGTAATTAGTTTGAATTTGACCCTATTAGAGGCACTTTCGCTCTGATGTTAGCACTGTGACATCTGTGCTGTGCTCTACGATAGGTGCCACGAAAACGGGTCTGGCTGCGACCTCGATAGAGCAGGGGTTTCTCACCGGGGTGAGAATTGGGGTCGGGAGAGGAGCAGAGGGAGCAGGGAAAGGGCTGAAATTGAAATGCAACCCAGCGGGTGAGATGTTCACGCTCCCCGCGGAGATGGAAACCAGCAGAGGAAGGGGAAATGTGTTAGATGAACAATCAGCCTCGTGCTCAGGTTGTATTTGCTTTAAATGGAGCTGGGTGTGAAAACAGCTGCTAAAAAAGCCCTGGTTCCAGTGCCAGGAGCAGAAATGCCTCCTTTTTGGCAGCAGGTCCTGACCCACGGGTCTGCAGCGGGGCAGGAGCTGGCCACAGCCGGACAGATGGATGTCAGGTCATGGGTGTCCATCCCTGCAGCTGGACAGACACCCCAAAGGGGAAACTGAGGCAGGGGGGAGTGCCAGGGGTGGGTTAGCACCGATATAGGGGAACAGCAGCTCCACGCAGGGTCACCCAGGAGCTATTTGCAGCCACGCAATGTTCATGCACGATTTCTTTTGTTCGAGGAGACAGCTTCCTAAAGAAGCCCAAAAAACGTGGTGGACGGAGATAAGGCTGGAAAATGAAAATCCAGCTACTGGGCAAGAGGGCAAAGGAAAGAGAGACCCTGCTGCAAGGACAGCTTGGGGTTTTGAGCAGTCCCAAAGCCACCAACAGCTCTGTCCCCTCAAGACCCTGCCCTGCCTCTGCTTTGGGACCATTCCCAAAGGAATTTGTGCAAGGTGTCCCGTAGGGATCAGCAAGGCAGAGGAGACCTCGGTTTACCCGGGGGACACGGCGGAGCACGGGCTCCCACGCACAGCCGCGGCTCCTTCCCTTGCAGACAGCGCCGTGCCTTCCTCGGGCATCACCCGCGCCGCAGTCCCCATGGCAACTGCTTTGTTTCCAGTCAAACTTTTAAAAAATTTATTTATTTTTTTCCCTTTTCTTTATTTTGCGTTTCAATAAGGGCGATTTGCAGCGAACCGCTGGGGCTGGAGGAGGGAGGGCGGGCTGATTCCCGAGGATTGCAGTAATTAGGCGCTCCCTGCGTTGGCGACAGCCTTGTAATTTGCCAAGCCGGCACTTGCTGTCTCCGGCAGCTCCGAGTTAAGCTGCTTTCCGAAGGCTTCAGCCCGATTTGTCTTAGCCGGGGCTGATCTGCACTCAGCAGCCTTCCTCCTGCCACAGGGGTTCGCCTCCATCCCTGCACGGAGGCACCCGATGAATTTGGGGAATCCAGAGCTGGGGTCGGCCACTTTATTCCATCACAGCCTCTTCCCCGAAGCCTTGCTGCTGGAGCTCTCCCAGGGATTTTGCCCAGTGCTTTTTCTCTCCGGACACATCTTCGGCCAGGTCTCTCTGGGAAGAGCTCCAGCTCCTCCCCAGCCCGCTGAGCATCGCAGCACCACTTGTCCCCCAGGGCTGTGGGGCCGCCAACGAGGCCAAGCTCTCAATGAATTTTTTAAAGAAATGCCCACTTAGATTTCACAGGGGAAAGGCACCAAGGAGCCTCTCTGCCATCCCAAACCGAGCACTTTTTGGGGTCCCCAGGAGCCGGGCAGTGCTCTGACTGCCAGCTGTACCCTGCGAGCTGCTGCTGAGGAGTCAAAACCATCCCTGACATTGCTGAGGGGATGCTTAAAGCAGTGATTAACTATTCACACTTTAATCTCCCCGAAACAGGCTCCAGCCCTTTGGCATCTTATTTCCATCTGTCTCTGCATCCCTCTCAATATGATTAGCACAGAAACGCTGAGCGCAGAGGGCTGAGCTGCTGCCGAGGGTATAAATCTGGGCGCCGTGTTAGAGCAGCTAATAGGCCGCCTTCTGACTTACTGTCCCCTAGTCCTTCTGTCCTGCCCCAAAAGTCATTTTAAGCAAACTTATTCAAAAGCAACGCTCTCCTCAAAGGCTGCGGCTCGGCGGTGGGAACAAACACGGCCTCGCCTGCTCCCCTCCGAGGGCTGGCTCGTTGTAAATGGGCACAGAGAGCTAAATGGGACAGCCCCGGACACCACGTCTGGGACAGGCACTCAGCTGGGTTTCTGACCCCAATTTGGGGAGATGCCACCTCTGCAGGAGCAGGGATGGAGCCTGGCATGGGAAGCAGAGGCATCCCACCTGGGACAGGCTGCTCCTGACCAGACACAGCCTGGGCAGCCCCCAGCTCTGTCCCTGCGCTCCCTCAACCCTGGAGCTGCCAAAGGCTTTGGGAATCCCTCTGCAAAGGCAGCCAAGGGCTTTGCAAGGGGCAGAACACCCCTCTCACCCCGTCCCACGCAGAGGAAGAAGCCAGAGGTGCCCAGCGTGCTCTGCCCAAGGTCACCGGGGCTGCAGATAGCAGCGTGGGGGCACCTGCTCTGACCCGAGCGCCTCGGGGCAGGAGCGTGTATTTTTAGGTGTTGTCACTGCTGCTTACCTTCGTCGGGGAGGCAACGTTAAGTCATCTGAGCGGCAGATCTGGGCGATGTTACAGCCCCAGAAAGCTGCTGATTAAGTGTTAAATATAACACCTGAAGACTGTTTTTGTTCCCTCCAGCTGGGTGGGGGAGAACGCTCTCCAGAGCAGCATCCTGCCCTTTCCAGAGCTGAGCCTCACGCGAGATCCTGAAGCCCTGCCAGGAGCTTTGTCCCCCTCCTGTCCCAAATATCTGTCCCCACACCGGGACCTCCTGCCTGAAGGGCTTCACCAGCAAGGAGCAGAAGCTGCCCACCATACAGGCTCAGTGTTCTGGGGGGGTGCAGCCCCTGTGCCCCAGGAACGGGGAAATAAAGGTGAACCATGAGTGACCACGGGGACTTTGCTCTAGTTGAGTGCCATCTCCCTCCCACCACAGAGAAGGAGCCAGGGGGTTTGCGGGGGGCAAGGGGGGAGCAAAGGGATTTCATCCCCGATGCCCTGCAGGGGGACATCCTTCCCCAGGGATTTTAGGGCTTGGTGCCACCAGCCGTGAGAGCTATGGGGCAAACAGCGAGAGCATCACTGGGGGCTTGCACTGCTGCCTTCCCACGTCCAGCCCGGATCTCCGATGATGAGGGACCTCATCCGTCAGCACCAGGAGGAACCGAAAGAGCCAGGAGGCCAATTTTCAAAAAAAAAACACACCCAAATGCACTCTTCTCATGATCATTTTACAGGGCTGTCACAGCAGCCCCAGAGGCTGTGATCGCTGTGCTAGGCGCTGTGTAGGGGAGCAAGGCTACTGAGCCGTGTTTCCTAGGAGTTTGTGGCTGCGCTGTGCCTACCACGGCGTTGAGCTCACATTGCAGTTTCCTTGCACAGCACACCGGTGGGCTGTGATCCCGTACCCAGCTATCTGTTGCCATGAAACTTCTCATCATAGGGACCTCTAATCCAAGCTCAGGCAAAGCTGGCCAAGGGGCTGGAAAGCATTCGCAGCACGGACACGCTCAGGTACACCTTTATACACATGCACACGCATGCACAAGCCTATTTTTTTTTTAGGAAGGGGGTCCAAGGGTTTCCTCGGGGAAGCTGGTCAACATGCAGCTCAGCTGGGAGAGCCCAGCACACGGGATTAAGTCACACTCTCATAAATGTGCAAGGGTCTCAAACTCACCCACATCCAAGGAAAAGATCTGGCAGGCATTTGTACCAGGCTTTTTTTGCCCCAAAGGCGTGATGATGCCCACACTCACCTATAAAGTCATGAACGAGGTCCTTGATGAGGTGCCCGACGATGGCGTACGCCACGGCCACCACCACCAGGGCTGCCATGAGAAGGTAGAGGACAGCCTTGGGCAGGGGGATGGCATCACGAGGAGGGGGTTTGTACTCCTTGTAAAGCTGGTCATTGTCCGAGTACGAGTACTGGAACAAGTGGTCCAGGCCGGCGGTGAAATTGCTGGAGTTCATGGACTGGCTGTTGGACAGGTAGTTGTCCTGCTCGGGGTCCTGGAGGACACTTACCACCGAGCTGGTGGTGGCTTCCACTTGCTGTACCAAATTCAGAGTCTTGTTGACGCTGGGGAGGATCTGGGAGAGGAAAGCGCTCCAATCTTTGATGGCACTGATGTTGCAAATGATCATAATTGCGGCGAGGAAAGAGATCTCCAAGCCCGAGAGATTTAAAAGGGAAAGAAACAGGCAAAAACTGCCGTGCTTACCCCGAACCATACACTGCAAACCAGGCAGAGGAAGCCTTGCTGGGGAAGGTTTCTCAACAGCAAATTCTTACCCGACGCGGTCGGGATGCATCCGTGGTCCATCGGTCCTCACTCCGGGACAGGCACACGGCGAGCCCCTAGGGGCACGGAGTTCCTTGGGAAACAGCAGGTGCTGGAGGGAATTTGAGCAGCATCATTTTTGTTCCTCGGCTCCCTCTCCCCGACTCCGTTTGCTGATGAAAGCCGGGGAGACGGGCTCCGGGAGGTGTTTTCGGTCATCCGGCAAGGAGACGCCAAGCTGCCCTCCTCCAGCTTCTCCTCGCGGGTGCCTGTCCTTGCGGGGAGAGGAGCAGCGGGCCGGGGTGCTGCGAAGTGCCGTGAGCAGCCGTGGAGAGACCCCCGAGGGGAAAGGGGTGGCTCTAAAACCCCAAAGTTCAGCTGCTCCCGCTGCGCTCCGGAGCCGCTCAGCCCCCGTCCTCGCCAGCCGGGCTCGCCGCAACTTCTGCCAGCATCTCCCGCTCCCAGCCCTTCGGAGCCCAAATCCCGGGCAGGTAATGAATAAAGGGAGCCCGGCGCTGTCCGGAGGGCAGCCGAGCCTCGGCTTTTCCCTCGGGGACTTGTGCGAGGGAGCGGCTCCCGGATGCTCCGCCTGGCTTTCCTCCGCGCCCGGCTCCCCGCGCCCCCCTCCTTGCTTCCCGCAGCCGAGCCGCCTCCACCGGGGGGCTCCTCCTGGGGTCGTGCCACCCCCCGACCCCTCTGTCCGAGCCGAGACAAAACCCCCCGGGGCTTGCAGAGCGGCTCCGGAGCCAGCGCGGAGCGCGGCCGGGGTGCGGGAGCTGCGGTGCCGGCAGGCGGGGCGCTGCCGGGAGGAGGGCAGGGGGGGTGCTGGGGGCAGGGGGGGTGCTGGGGGCAGGGTGGGTGCTGAAGGCAGGACGGATGCTGAAGGCAGGATGGGTGCTGAGCCCTTGCACCAGCTCCCGTGCTCTCCCCCGAGCTCTTGCGCCAGCCCCGGTGCTGTTCCCCAAGCCCCTGCCCCGCTAAGTTTTGGGGTCAGGGGGATGCTGGCTCGCAGGGAGCTGAGCCCATGGGTGTCCCGCTGCCTGGTGAGCTCAATAAGAGCCGGGCTGGTTGCTTCGGTGCTGGTTTTAAACCTCTCCGGATCATCTATGAATACGGATCTCCTTTATCCACCTCGGCAATGGGATTTCACCAGGGTGCTGGCTCCATTGGAAGGCACTGTTTTGTTGTTTTTTTTTTCAAACAGAGGGAATCTTAGAGAAGGCACATTGTCCGTCTGTATTTGGAGGTGAAAATAAATCACAGCCCCATTTTTCACATCTACTTGTGTGTGTGTGTGTGTGCAGCTTCACCGTGTAAGGAATAGCTGCCGTGAGGGCAAGGAAATCACAACGTCAGGCCTGAACGCAGCCAAATGGGGCTTCTGAGGAGTAATAGCAAAAGGTTTAAGGATTATCTTGTGCTACCAACCAGCTGCAGTCCCACCAGATGCATTAAGGTTGGGAGGGCAGAGAATGAAATGAAACATCCCACCCTTACAATGAGATCACAAGGGCTCAGGTAGGTGATGGATGGATTGTCCAGCCCAGGAGCAAAGGAAATGTGGAGGAAAAGGCTTTCCTACCCCACCCTCGCACACAAGCTAGGTCCCAATGACCTGCCAGGCCAGATTTTATCTGTCCAAGAGGGAAAATGTGGCAAGATTTATTTATTTACAGAAGCTCCTCAGTGCAAGGGGAGTTTTGAGCTCCACACAGTGGTGCCGTGGCGCAGCCTGGCTTTTCCCCACTCTGGAGACACATCTTTTGGCTGGGGTCCCCAGGGGGAGAGGGCAACCCATGGGATTTGCCCGCTGTCCTCGGGGCTTGACGCTGCTCTGAAGCTGTATTTCACCAGTTGCCATGGCACCACCAGCACATCAGCCCGAGGAAAGAGAGCATCCAGAGGGGCTGAGCCATCCCCGTGGCTCGCTGCTACCCAGGGCTTGGGGTGCCACCGTCCCAGGTGGGTTCCCACCACCCTTTTATTCCCAAGTTGGGTTGAAGCCAGGTAATTTGGGGTTAGAGCCCTGGGGGCTGTGCTCAGAAGGAGCTGGAGAAGCACTTGGGGGACCCCCAAGGTCTGCTGCAGGCATTGTGTTCATTAAAGGGCTTAGGATAATACCAAAACCCCTCCACCTCTTGCGTTTCCCTGCAGTGAAAGTAAAGTTGGCCTCTTTCATTGCCATTAATGCCCGTACCGGTTCAAAACGACTAAATAGATGCTTAATTGTTCATTACACACCCTCTGCATCTCCTGTCTGAAGGGGAGGCTTTATTTCCGTGATTACGATTTCCATCCCATTACAGAGGGAGAGAGCGGGGAGAAATATAAAAGAGCAGGTTTTAATAGCCTTATATTTCAAACCCTCTGTTATTAAAAAAAATGTTTGCATTTCCCGTGATGGCGGGAAGATTAAAAGGATTGCCATGGATTCCACTTAGGGAACATTACTAATGATTTCGATCAATCACTTTAAATAAAAATCACAATCTCTACAATTCCACCCAAATGCCGTTTGGCAGAGGGGTTGATTATGGGAGCAAAATGAATTTCAGAATTAGCTGCTTGTCCTAATGCAATTGGACAAATCGAATTTAGGGATACACACATAGACAATGACACACATATCTCATGCAGAAGAGCAGTGTTTTGGCCTCTGGGAACAAGAACAAATAATGTTTTAGTGGGTCAGGAAAGGTCCTGTCCCTCGTGATGGATGCTTAGTGCTTGTTTCGGCTATTTCCCTGGTATTTTTATTTGATGTCGTACTCTCTGCGTAACTCTAGTGACAGAACCGGTGTTTTGTTTCCATGCAGGCAGGAGCAAACTGATCCCTGGGATCACTTTGATGCCTGGTGGAGATGCCACGTGCCTGGTGGAGATCTGACCATGCTCCCAGCCCTGCAGCCGGCTGTGGCACCCAAGGCAGGGGTGGAGAGGTATCGGGGTGAGCCCTTCCTGCAGCACCTTCACCTCCTTTCTGTCCACCTGCATTTTGAGGGAGACTTTTCAGAGAATGTCAAACCACTCGGGTTTTAGCTCTAAGCAGGATGGGGTCCACACTCACAGCTCGGATGCTCTCCCTGCACCTCTGGGCACCCAGAGCAGCACCTTCACCCCCACACCACCTCCAGACCCATCCTCGTGGTCCCAACATTTTGCCAGCCACCTTTCTGCATGACAAGAAGTCATGAAATACAGGCTCACCCTTGATTTCCAGTCCTCTCCTTTTGCCCAGTAATTTCTGCCTGAAAAAAACACAAAACAAAACAAAACAAAACAACAAACAAGGAACAGCAGCAGTTTTTAGCAGATGAATCAGAATGAGCTATCTTTATCTATCTATATATAAAAATTACTTAAAACCTTTTTTTTTTTTTTTTTTTTTTTAATGCTGTATTATTCATGCAGCCAAAGCTGAAGCAGGCCAGATTGTAATAATAAATGCCACCGTGAACACGCCAGTACAGTGCCTAGGAAGGCGCTTCCCTGTCTGCTGTCTGGTAAACAAAGTGGGATTTTAACTCTGCAAGTGGCACCATCTCATGGCCAGCTTGGCTTATTCTCCATCGCTTCCCTACCTTAACAAATGTCAGTGGATTTGAGAGGCTGAAGATGTGCACAGAAATATACCCCGCATGAAAAGGTTCATGAGAGAGAGGGGAAAATTTCCCAAGTGAAAAGCAACAGGGTAATTGTGGAGGTGAGGTGGGAGGAGGGAAATATGTGCTCTTTTTGCAGCCCTAGAAAGAGCTGCTTGGCCACAGCACAGATAAAAATAGCTGAATATTATTTACAGGGCTTATTTATGGGTAAACCTAATAGCTATTGGCAACAGAACAGAAAGGCATCATCTCAGCAGGTGGGAAAGCATTGGGTTTTCTGTGTCCGTGCCCTCTCCACTCACAGCTTGGCTGTCCCGAACCCAGCACAAAGGTGAGCCTGGCTGCTGGAGTCCAGCACCTCCCGAAGCCCCTTGAAGGGACCTGCAGAGAGAAGCTGCCAGTCTGTACATCTTCTACCTCCTCTGTGGTCCAGGCTGGATGAGTAGGGCAGCAGGAGCTGAAGGCACACAAACCCTGTTTGAATTTTTGGAGTCTCACAGGGCAGGGCTGGGGCGGGCGTCCAGCTTCTAAGATGTGGGACCAGGAGGAAACTTTAAATGTCAACATTTACAAGGGTAGCAGGGAAGGTAGAAAATTCTGCAGAAATTTTGCAAAGCAAATAGAAAACTAACCTACTTTGCCGAAATACTTCCCCATCACAGCAGGAGGAACAGAAATAGAGAGCTCCCCAAAGGCTCATTCCCCTGCAGACCCAGCAGTGCACGTGTCTCCCCTCTGTCCCCTGCAGTCTTTCCTCCTGTGTTTCCACCTCCCAGAGCAAGACCTGCTTCCAATGTGGGGTCTTCAAACCACGCTGGTGTTTGAGGTGTGGAGGAAGACCTGCGAAGTGCTGGGCTGGTTGATCTGAGCTGCAGCTGTGCTGCCAGGCGGGTTGCAAACACACTCCGTGACTCCTGATGGATCTGCCGCTGCAATCGGGAGGTGTTGCAGTGCTCTCTTCTGCATTGCAGATCGTGCTCCAGCCGTGCCCTGATCCTCACACCTTCCCTAGCCCTTGCCTGCTGTTTCCCAGGCACTGGTTCAGCTCAGCATCATGCAGGGCATTGCCTGATCCTCGCGCTGCTGCCTGCGGGGCTGTACCTGTGCCTGCAGACTGCCCCATTCACACCAGGCACGCTCACATTAAGGGAGATGATGGCAGAGGGGGGCTGAAACTTTGCCCTGTGCTTCTTTTCTAGTGGGTAGTGTCCTAAAGGACATCTTGCGTGCCAAGGTGATGTGTGGAAATGGTGGGTCACGGGTGGGAGCATCCAACTGCTAGGTGGGTCCTGGAATATGCGAGAGGTGTGGACACAGCCCTCCTGGACCGAACACTGAAACTGGATGGCAATTGTCCTCATTCAGGTTGGGCAAGATCAGCCAGCTCCTCGTGGTCTGCAGCAGCTCCAGACTGAGGGAAGGGAGCACGGGGACTGAGGGACAGACCTAGCAGAAGTCAAAAGTATGGTACTTAACAAGTATGGAAGTGACGTTGAGCCCACCTGAAACCAGAGGTGTGGCTGTACCCACCTTATTATGTTGTGACTAAAGTGCTGCACGTTGTATTTTCCCTTCTAGGAGATGAAAACCCAGAGGAAGGCTGAATTAAGAGCAAAAATGAAATCCACAACGAGCAGGGGGTGGTTTTGTTGCATGGGCTGTTAACCTTACAGACATGGCCCTTTGGCTCCTGCACCTTATCCCTGCAAAGGCATTAAAAGCCCACTGCTCCTACCTCGGACAGACCTAATTTCAGGTCGATAGCTCCCATCCTGGACCACAGCTCCCTTCTCTGTCACCTGTACCGGGTGCTCCCAGCCCTCCCTCTCCCGCCCCAAGGCGTGCTGCAGGCTGACTTTGTGGCCTCAGACTTGTTTTGCTGTCGTGTTTTTCCTGTGCCTGCCTCCAGGCAGACAGCAGGCACGTGGCCCTCCATCCACTGCTGCTGATGATTTATTTTGCTGTCAAAAGCTCCAGGGCTTTCAGTCACTCTGGGGGTCAGTGGCTCCAACCAGGAGAAGACTTTGCAGTTTTAAGTTTTCTTTAACATGTGTAACAGCACCCAAAACACAAGTGACTTGGATTATTCTCTTGTCCAGCTCTGCCCAAGGTCAAAGCCAAGAACAACACAGACGAGCCATAGGAAAGCACACAAAAGTCTTCTGCAAGCATGCACGCAGGGCTCTGCAGCACGAGTGTGGTTTTGCTCTCCCTGGGGCTCTCCAAGGTGAGCCAGGAGCAGCATCCTCAGGTTACAGATGGGGAAACTGAGGCAGGCAGCCACCAAGCAGGTCGCAAGCTTACACAGAACAGGGACTAGTCCCTCCTTGGCTTCAGTTGGCTTTAATTCAGTCGCAGCAATCCAGGTGAGGTGCCCATTTTCTAACCCAAATCCAGGCTGTTTCTGCACCGA